CCAAATCTTTGGTTCTTTGGCATTAAAACTTTCAATATCGTACAGTGGCGCCTCTTGTTTGGGGGGGGGGGGGGGGTATCAGAACAGGGTATCACCAGGGCAGGGTGCCTCAAAAACAGGGTGTGACCAGAACAAGGTGTCACCAGACAGAGGAGGGTGCCATAAGAATAGGTTGCCAACAGAACCGGGTGGGAATCACGTCCTCTACTCACCAAGCCTTCAACTGTGGCTCCGCGCATCAGAGATTTTCCAAGACAAGACTTATAAAGAACTATTTGTTATCTACCAAGAGCAGTAAACGCTTTATGATTTTCACATTTTTGTCATTTAAAAGTGAGACTGTGAAGAATGTTGATTTTGAAGGTGGTTGACATGTTTGCATCTTTGAAGACCAACAAGGTGAAGTTGTATCTGTTCAGTTCGATGTTTCAAAAAACAAAAAAAAAGTTTGTGTTGTTCTTGATCTATTATGTTGAACTCTGTTACTTAAATCCTATGTTTTCTTTTCATGTCGTAAGTGGCTCTGGATGCGGTTCAATATGATATGGTTCAGAATTACTCCGTGTAGTACCGGAGGGGGGGGAGGGTGTACGGAGGGACTCCAGAGAGGGCGACTTGATGAGTGTACCGCAACGTTTGCCACCAACCTTAGAGACGCCTCTGGTACCGTGCCAGGATGTTTAAAACATATGTTAAACGCCACTCGCCAATTGTTAAATGGGCTGAGTAGATAACAATTTGACATCACTTGAACTTTAAACTCTACTTATGTAAACAAGATGTTACAATATATTTTTTTCTCCGTAATCAAGTAAACATTACCTCAGCTTTCCCACCGAAAAAAAAACGTAAAAACTTTTCATGCCATATGGTAAGTGAGACGTTGTGTTAAATTTCAGGATAACTCTTCCTGTGACATGCTTTTTACTGAAGGGGTGACCTGGTCCTAAAGTTTTATAAATAGTTGAACCCGATGACATTTCTAATATTTTTGTACTATTCATTCAGACAAGTATAAACTTAAGTGATATCAACCTAGACTCAATACATATGGACTTCCTTCATTCAAACAAAGATAAACTTACGTGACATCAAATAAAATCTGATAATTATTTGCTTATTTAAGCTAGTATGATCTTCTTTTCCACAAGTTTAAGTTTCTTCCTACACACAAGATCAGAAATTCATAATACTTTTTTTCTTCTGAATATAAATAATCGTCTCCCAATAATTAGTTACCAAGAACACTAACTCTACAATTTTCAGTTGCAGTGGCCGTCCTTGGTTATAGTTATAGCATATTATGTACTTACCGACAACTCTCTGGCTTAACCAACCTTTATATGTAAAATGAAAAGGTTGGGGGGGGGGGGTTGGGGCGAGACATCGCCTCCCCAACCGTTGCACAGATGCCAGTATATGTATGCAGCAACGAACACTACCAGAATAGAACCAGACTGCAATCAGGTTACGTACAAGGACATGTGTGAAACAAACCTTATACAGCAAACAGCACAAACAAAATGGAACTTTAGAACACAGGTAATTTTTTCAAGGTTTCTCACACCTTGTTTCACATATCTCCATAATCGTCTTTTATTTATACTTCGTCTTTATACTTTGGATTGACCATCTCCTGCTCACTAGAGGTGGTAGTGTAAATCAGAATTATGCAGTTTAAAGTAGAGTAGAGATTCAAAATATTTATTTCAATAAGACGATATTTGTTAAAACTGTTATTATGATATGACCGTATACATATTCAAACGTTTGATCCTTCATCAGTACAAAATAATGTAATTATAAATTCTATGTACATAATAATATTTATGTATATCATACATATATCTAATCATAAAGAAAAGAATATCCATTAGCACGAGTAAACTAAAGAAAGGGCCAGTCACTCCAAGATCAGTCAGTACGGAAAAAAAACTTGGCAGGTTCAGATAGGAAGCTACAGCATGGTCTTATGAAGCTGGACTACGACATGGTCACACCAAGTTGGTCTTCAATATGGTCTTATGAAGCTGGACTACGACATGGTCACACCAAGTTGGTCTTCAATATGGTCTTATGAAGCTGGACTACATGGTCTTATGAAGCTGGACTACGACATGGTCACACCAAGTTGGTCTTCAATATGGTCTTATGAAGCTGGACTACGACATGGTCACACCAAGTTGGTCTTCAATATGGTCTTATGAAGCTGGACTACGACATGGTCACACCAAGTTGGTCTTCAATATGGTCTTATGAAGCTGGACTACGACATGGTCACACCAAGTTGGTCTTCAATATGGTCTTATGAAGCTGGAATACGACATGGTCACACCAAGTTGGTCTTCAATATGGTCTTATGAAGCTGGACTACGACATGGTCACACCAAGTTGGTCTTCAATATGGTCTTATGAAGCTGGACTACGACATGGTCACACCAAGTTGGTCTTCAATATGGTCTTATGAAGCTGGAATACGACATGGTCACACCAAGTTGGTCTTCAATATGGTCTTATCAAGCTGGACTACGACATGGTCACACCAAGTTGGTCTTCAATATGGTCTTCTGAAGCTGGACTACGACATGGTCACACCAAGTTGGTATTCAATATGGTCTTATGAAGCTGGACTACGACATGGTCACACCAAGTTGGTCTTCAATATGGTCTTATGAAGCTGGACTACGACATGGTCACACCAAGTTGGTCTTCAATATGGTCTTATCAACCTGGATTAAGACAAGGTCTGTACTACGACATTGGCTCTCAAAGTTGGTCTCTGATACGGTCTCATCAATCCGGCTATGACAAGGTCTGTACTATGACTTTTTGACATTGTCTCACAAAGTTGGTCTCTGATACGGTCTCATCAATCAGGACTATGACAAGGTCTGTACGAAAACATGGACTCACAAAGTTAGTCTCTGATACAGTCCCATCAATCTTGACTATGACATGGTCTCACAAAGTTGGTCGCTGATACAGTCACATCAATCAGGACTATGACATTGTCTGTTCTTCGACATGGTCTCACAAAGCTGGTCTCTGATAGTCTCATCAATCAGGACTATGACAAGGTCTGTACTACAACATGGTCTCACAAAGTTGGTTGCTGATACAGTCCCATCAATCTGGACTATGACATGGTCTTTACTTCGACACGGTCTTGCAGAGTTGGTCTCTGATAGTCACATCAATCAGGACTATGACAAGGTCTGTACTATAACATGGTCTCACAAAATTGATCTCTGATAAGTCCCATCAAGCTTGACTATGACAAGGTCTGTACTACAACATGGTCTAAAAAGTTGATCGATGATACAGTCCCATCAAGCTTGACTATGACAAGGTCTGTACTACGACATGGTCTCACAAAGTTGGTCTCTGATAGTCTCATCAATCAGGATTATGACAAGAAATGTACTTCGACATGGTCTCATAAAGTTTGACAACAATTTGGTCTCATCAAGTTGGATTAAGACAAGGTATGTGGTACGATAAGGTCACACAAAGCTGGACAATGACATGGTCTCATTCACTTATTGAGACATCAAACATTTTTTTATCCACTTTTTCAATCCTTGGAGTCCGCTCATAAAAAAGGAACTTTAATTCTTTTGTTCGTTTTAACATCTCTTAAAGTAGAAACTAAGTTTCTCAGACAAGTTTACAAGGTATGTGTGAATTTCTGTGTACTCTCCTCACACAAACTGAAAATTTAATTCTAAACTGACTAGCTGTGTGCCATCCTCACACAAACTGACAATTTAATACTAGTGTAACAAGCTGTGTGTCATCCTCACACAAACTGAACATTTAATCCTAGTGTGACTAGCTGTGTACCATCCTTACACAAACTGAACATTTAATCTTAGTGTGACTAGCTGTGTACCATCCTCACACAAACTGAACATTTAATACTAGTGTGACTAGCTCTGTACCATCCTCACACAAACTGAACATTTAATCCTAGTGTGACTAACTGTGTACCATCCTCACACAAACTGACCATTTAAAACTAGTGTGACTAGCTGTGTACCATCCTCTCACAAACTGAACATTTAAAACTAGTGTGACTAGCTGTGTACCATCCTCACACAAACTGAATATTTAATCTTAGTTTGACTAGCTGTGTACATTCCTTACACAAACTGAACATTTAATACTAGTGTGACTAACTGTGTACCATCCTCTCACAAACTGAACATTTAATACTAGTGTGACTAACTGTGTACCATCCTCACACAAACAGAACATTTAATCCTAGTGTGACTAGCTGTGGGCCATCCTCACACAAACTGAAAATTTAATCGTAGTGTGGCTAGCTGTGTACCACCTCACACAAACTGAACATTTAATCCTAGTGTGACTAGCTGTGTACCATCCTCACACACACTGACCATTTAATCCTAGTGTGGCTACCTGCGTACCATCCTCACACAAACTGAACAAATGATTCCTGGGCAGGAGGGGTAGTAGTGTCTGGAGATAGCTCTGTGACAAAAGGAGGGGTGGCCGTCCCGGATTTGTCACTTGATGGAGCTACATCTCTTGCTGCCCCTGGAGTCATTTTCTGATGAAGAAGGGGCGGCACCTCCTCCAGTCAGCCCTGATGACTTTGACTATTTAAGACTTTTCAAGGACAAGATTCATTGATTCACTCTAATAAAACTATATGACACCTCTGTGTTCTCAATTTAAATATATATATGTGTGTGTGTTGTATTTAATTATTAAGGAAACCACTCAGTATAATTAGACTACAAAAATACCCACCAAATTGTATGCATTGAGAACCACTCAATCAACTTAAATAAAATGGATCATACTATCACTACAACCTGCCTCTATGACTAGTGACCCTGACATATTGAGAAACACTCAAAGTATCGCCCACCAAGAATTCTAATTTTTAAAAAAATGACCCCCACACACATTGAGAACCATCCCAATCAAGATCACTCAATTCATATTAAATAACTAATTAAAGTCCAATTTAACTGTTACACACTACAAGAGTTTATTACAAAATTTATTAAAACCATCCAAGACCACTGATTATAAATACGGTGCACAACAACTGGAGAATATTAATTTAAAAAGTAATTAAATAATAATCACCCCTTAATTTATCCATCGACCCTGAAAGGTCGACCCTAACCCTTCAAAATACTAACATAGTATAGTATCATCCACATGTGATGTTCCCTTGGCTTATCATGTGCGACGAGTCTTAGAGGACCAGCGTATCCTCCCTAAAGAAAAAACCCTAGGCCTTGTGAGTTCATCCTGCGGAGCTTATAACATAGCATCACATTGTGACGTATGGATGCCAGAATTATTTTGTGGCACCCACTATGATCATCAATGCATTCAATTAACATTCCCCTGAATAAATACAATAACAGCAGGGTAATTTTTGTTTGTTGCTATTTCCAAGTTAAGAGTTAAATACGATACTAATAACTGACCAATTATAACTCGTTACAGAGTAACTTCTTAATTTACCCCATGGTGAAGGGGCTACTATATTTTTACACAAAGAGGTCACTGGATAACATCAGACAGTTTGCATTACAATCTACTTCAAAGCTTTGGAAGTAATTCCAATAATTTAAACCTTCTTTCTGTCAAACTTATCATTACACTCTGTACCCTTTAAAAATTGGTTGATTTCAACATTTCATCAAAGGGATAAATACAAACACAGATACAAATACAGGCAAGAAATACACATACAGATAACAAATAGAAAGTTTCAAAGTTACAACATACAAGCTTCTACCAGACAATAAACAAAAGCATACCAAGTTCATGAACTATTTGTAGTAATTTGTACATTTATTCAAATGATGTTGCAAGAAAAAAAACAAGAGAGGAATAAAAATAATAATTTCCAAATGAGCAACAATATTAAATTTTTTAGAAATGCACTATCTGTTTATAACAGTGACATTGAAATACTGGAGTAAATGCACTAGACAAATTGGGGCACGGCAAGTAGCATCCACAACTTGTTCATTTATCAGCCAGGTGCACAAAAAAAAAAAAGACTTGAGCTGTAGTGTTAGAGTTTCAATAAAATTGTTTGGTAAAATTAACTACTAGGCCAGTTTAGATCTCTTAACTTGAAGTGTCCATGAAGATGTTCGCATTCTGTCACTTTAAAGTTGAACATTTTAAAACATGGCTGACTCTTGTATTCCATCTGATATGGACAATCTTATTCTTATTATCAACAGACTTTCACCTGCATTACATTATATCTTGCTCACCATTGCACCATGACTGATGAGGTCATGGGGTCATAGAACAAAATTATTGAAGTCAATAAGGGAATGATAGCTTCAAGTTTCAGATTAAATTTTTTTTGAAAAATTGTGTCACTTTTAAAATACATTTGAAAACATATTACTGAGTAATTAGGTTATATTTTCTCTTTTTTATTTCTATAATACAACTTTCACTTGTCATATAACATACAACTTTCAGTTGTCAAATGCATTACAAAATGGATTGATTTTTCCTTTATAAACCACCTGTCATCACTTTTTAATTTGCATATGCACAAACTTCTTACGACAACCTGAAATGAAAGGATATTTTATAAAAATAAATATGTCTGTCATTAAAAAAAACAACAACACAAAAATATGGGAGAAAAAGAAAGCAAAAAAAAATAAAATAATAGGATAATGCCAATAAGCTCTATTGAACAGAATCAATCGAAACATTTATGCCGAGACTATAAAGCTTAAGTGCTACTGGGACATTTTTTTTATACTGGTTCCAAGTACAGTTTACCATTGTAACTGGCCTAATTTTGGATGTAAATTTCCACTTCAGTTAACATATTTAAATCTCTAGCTAGTTTAGCAGTCCCAAATTTGACTGAGCAATTGGTCAATGCCTTCAAGTGAGATATGCCTGTGTTAGGCTTTCCACTGGCCAAATGTTTTCAGTGTAATGTTTTACGCACATAGCCATTGCCAAACTACAGTGGGGCTTTGGAATACAAACACCCAAGAACTCAGATAAAATGGAATCCCGAATTTTTTTTTTTAAAAATCGAGCCATTTTAGCACTGGAAATATTAACTCTTGGAATCTGAATGCCTGGCATGTTCTTTGTGTGATTTTGAGCTAACATTAAACCAGGACTCTGGCCATCAATGTCATTCAGTTCGGCATCGAAGCTCCAATGTAAGTATCTCATGTGATTTTTACAGGTAATTTTATGCTTGAGCCCTATGCTTTTATTTTGTTTTATGAATTGACCAAAAAGTGTATCCACCATGTAAGTGAATGGTCAATACATTGACCGTGGGCCTTGAAAATATACAAGAAAAAATGTATGTGATTTGCTGTTCAACAGTTGATTTATGGACACCCAAAAAATAGTAGATAACTATTGTCTAAACATTTAGCCTGCAAACAACTCCCCAATATTCTTCCACAGTCTTTGAAAATGATCAATGCAAAATTAATATATAGTAGAACCCTATCCTATAGGCATTCATTTAGGAAAGATGAATTGCAAACCAATTTCTGTGTGTGCTGTTAGTGCCGCATCATCCGCAAATAGTAGCTCGCGAATTAGAACATCTGTCGTTTTGGTCTTGGCTCGGAGGCGGGCAGTGTTGAAAAGTCCTCCATCAGCTCTGGTGTGTAACCAGATTCCCTCACTGCTATCCTTGAATGCGTATCGAAGTAGTACAGAGAAGAATATTGCGAACAGTGTTGGTGCGAGTACACAACCTTGTTTAACTCCGCTGCTGACTGGAAAGGCTTCTGACTTGGCTCCATCGAACTGCACTGTACCCTGCATATTTTCATGGAACTCTCTGATGATGGCAAGTATGTGAGGGGGACAGCCGATTTTTGCCAGTATTTTGAATAGCCCGTTGCGACTGACGTAATCAAAGGCTTTTGTAAGGTCCACAAAGGCAATGTACAGTGGCATCTGCTGCTCTCTGCATTTTTCCTGGAGCTGTCGTATGGAGAACACCATGTCTATGGTAGACCGCCCAGACCGGAAACCGCACTGAGATTCTGGATAGACACGGGATGCTAGACTCTGTAAACGTGTTAGTATGACACGGGCAAAGGCCTTTCCTACAATACTAAGGAGTGAAATGCCGCGATAATTATTGCAATCACTCCTATCACCTTTGTTTTTATATAGTGTCACTATATTTGCATCCTTTAGGTCTTGGGGGATGTAGCCCTGTTCCCAGCAGAGGGACAGAATCTCGTGCAATGGTTGGAGTAAAGCTATCTTACCACTCTTTAGAGCCTCTGGTGGTATTCCATCATCCCCAGGCGCTTTTCCACAAGCTAGGCTATCAATAGCTTTGCTCAGCTCTTCCATTGCGCATTACTATTTATAGTTCTACCGAAAGGAAGCCTTGTTGTCTGCATTTATTTTTATACTAATTTGAACGGGCTGTGTTTAGGGGCTTATTTTCTACGATTTTTTTTAAAAAGATGTGATTTTTTTCGCTGTAAACATTTTATAAAGTTTTGAAAGAACTTAGGCCTAATGAAGCTTTACCATTACATGAATCTAGCAGCGTTAGTGAACAATCTGATAGAGACATTCCTTTAAATGACGCTACTAGTGATAGTGATTCAAGTGAGGAAGATAATAGTAATAGTAGACATCGAGGACAACGGACCTACCACAATTCCACTCCAACTGATCAGCAAGATCATGAATGGTCTGGGAATTTTTCACAAATCAAAGTGGGAGGGTCCCCGAAACTAGGTGCAAGCAACTTTTGCTTAAATCATTTTATTTTTTTCTTGCCATTTAATACCAAGGATGCGACGCAGGCATCTCATATGGAAGCTATTAAGCTTGCGCTCTTGGGATGTATATGTGGTCCATGTCTCGCTCCCGTATAGTAGTGTACTGAAGACACAAGCTCGGTAGACGCACAGTTTGGTTTTCTCCGTTAGCTTGGTGTTTTGCCAGACCCGTTTATTTAGTTTAGCCATTGTGGCAGCTGCCTTGCCGATTCTGCTGTTGATTTCTTCTTCAATGGACAGTGTATTGGAGACCTTGGACCCCAAGTAGGTGAAGCTGTCCACAACCTCCAAGTTTTCATTATCGATTTTTATGTTAGGTGGAGGTCGAGTGTCTTTGGCCATGATGTTTGTCTTTTTCAAGCTGATTTGCAGACCAAATTCTTTGCAGGCATTGGAGAAGCTTGACACGAGTGCAAGCAACTTTTGCTTAAATCATTTATTTGTGTTTAGGTATTTTTAACTTTATTTATTCGCTCCTAGTTTATTTCTGTAAATTAATTAGATAAAGAACCTTCATTTAAAGTGGAGTTATGTTCCCTTGCTTGGGCGCTGGAAGTAGAAAAGGCTGAATAGGCTTGGACTGTAAAGGGTTAACTAAACAAACTCTCATCTGTAAACTAAAAAATCTCTCATCTGGGATTGTAACTAATTACATATCAACTAAATAATCTCTCATCTATTTACTAAACTAAAGAATCTCTCATCTGGGTTTGTATCTACCATACTTACGTATCAACTAAAGAATCTCTCATCTGAGTTTGTATCTACCATACTTACGTATCAACTAAAGAATCTCTCATCTGGGTTTGTATCTACCATACTTACGTATCAACTAAAGAATCTCTCATCTGGGTTTGTATCTACCATACTTACGTATCAACTAAAGAATCTCTCATCTGGGTTTGTATCTACCATACTTACGTATCAACTAAAGAATCTCTCATCTGGGTTTGTATCTACCATACTTACGTATCAACTAAAGAATCTCTCATCTGGGTTTGTATCTACCATACTTACGTATCAACTAAAGAATCTCTCATCTGGGTGTGTATCTACCATACTTACGTATCAACTAAAGAATCTCTCATCTGGGTTTGTATCTACCATACTTACGTATCAACTAAAGAATCTCTCATCTGGGTGTGTATCTACCATACTTACGTATCAACTAAAGAATCTCTCATCTGGGTTTGTATCTGTGATGGTTCGTGGTCACTGAGTTTAAAAATGCTTTCCATAACTGAAACTTCTGTTGATGTTGTGTCATGGCCACACACTGCCATCCAATCATTGACAACTAAACCTGCTGCCAGGACTTCACTGCCTCTGTTCACAGTTCCTGCCTGAGATCAAATATGAGATACCAATAGCTGACCACTAAGCCATCTGAGATAAAATATGAGATACCAATAGCTGACCACTGGGCCATCTGACATAAAATATGAGATACCAATAACTGACCACTAGGCCATCTGAGATAAAATATGAGATACCAATAACTGACCACTAGGCCATCTGAGATAAAATATGAGATACCAATAGCTGACCACTAGGCCATCTGAGATAAAATATGAGATACCAATAACTGAACACTGGGCCATCTGACATAAAATATGAGATACCAATAACTGACCACTAGGCCATCTGACATAAAATATGAGATACCAATAACTGACCACTAGGCCATCTGACATAAAATATCAGATACCGGTTTCCAATAACTGACCACTATGCCATCCGCCAGCAGCTCAATCACTGCCTATGAACTTTAATATAAATTGTCCTCCAATAATCACTTTGTAATTTAATGAATTTTTAAATATGAATTTGATAAATGCTCTGTGAACAATAACTAAATATGATCCATACATATGTCTCTTAGACTGGACTATCGTAAGTTCATCACACTACTTGCTTTGTTTTTTAAAATTTTTTAACAATTCTTTCATATTGGCTTGATTTGAGTTAGTTTGATTTAATAAATTAATTAAATATCTCATTTTAAAATAAAATACAAAGGACTACTATGACACACTACAATATGAGATTACACATTGAGTTTACAAGAAGCTCTGTTTAAAATTATAATAAAATATTTGTTGCATGTTGAAATCAAACAAATACAATGTTTTACCAATAACTCTTGGGTAACAATAATGAGGCTATTATTTAACACCCGAACTTTGACATGTAGCACCAAAATACCCAAAACTAATAGAACATCAATCCATAGACGCATAATGAGTACAGATACCCAGAGAGTAAATTGGACAAGGAATAAAATGGTATGAGTGTTGGAATTATGTCAGCTACCTATATGTAAAATGAATATGACCTTGACTTTCAAAAGTGAGTGCAATTGTGCAACTATTTATTTTTCTTCAACTAACATCTCCACTGACTGTGGGATTCTTCTTAGCATCTAACAAGTTTTTTAGACACAAAACATTTTTCTTTCACTTTTGAGCACATATTTATTTGGGTTTAGAGAAGTTAAAAAATAAAAATATTCCATAGATAATAATAATAAAGTTTATTTCAAAAACACTCTTCATCCCCAAAGGCTCGAAGATGACTCCCATATTTCTTTCTATAATGCCTATTAAATAAATTTTTACCCTACTTCCATTATAACAACTTGAACTGATCAGCAAGCTAGCTGCACTATGGTTAATATCACAACCATGAGAAATGCCAAAAAAACCTTATCAGACTCATTTTGATGAAGAAATAATACAAACATTAGGCTTTGCTTTGCAGGGCCAACCTCTGAGTCGAAAGATATAGTTTTAACAAAAAATGTCTAAAAACTTTAAACTCGGATATTTTAAAAAATATGCACCAATGAAATGTTTACCTGAGCTATCCCCCTTGAAACTATAACGTCTGGTTCACATGTATAATATTAATGTTAGAAGGGGCCGAATACATCAGCCGTAATACCATAGAACACCACTGCCTTAACCCCTGATTATAAGCCGATTACATCAGCCGTAACACTAAAGAACACCACGGCGATAACCCCTGATTATAAGCCATTATAACAGTTCACGGGTTAAGAAAACTGACAACAAAACAAGCTGTCAACACAAAAAATGTTGTCTAAGAAATTCACAGATAGATTAAATCAAAGAAACAATCAACACAATTAACTAAGAAAGATATACACTCATCAGTGAAGATAATATTACGCAAATATCTTTCAATTAGATAAGCTGGTTCCAAGAGAAATGAATGTTATGGGAAGCAACGTAATTGTCCAGAAATCTGGATGCATGGAAATCTCTGGTCATAGGCGTCTTCCCCAAACATGATAATAATGACATAATAATTGACTGTTGGCTTTTGAAACAGGTTTAAATAAATGAGACTTATTTAGCTGCCCCTGTCAACACTTGACTGGATGCAACAAAGGGAGATAACTCACCACTAAGGGGACTTGAAGCAAAGATGACAGCTCATCCAAATCTTCCACTGATGTTTTGGGTGGAACCTATAAATCGAAAGCATTATTTTCAAGTTAAGGATATCAGCTAAAATATTTATTTGCCTATATGATATGTCTATCACACTAGACCACCCTCATATATCACTCTACTTGTACCTCACACTGGACAACCCTTGTTTCTCCCCACAAGGTGCAACTTGTAAATAACATTCCCATGTTGGCATAATATTTACTATTAACATGTTTCAACAAACTGACTCTCCATTTCATCATTTAATTTGCAATTTACTCTATTTTAAAATGACAAAGTCATAGTGCTATAAAGTGGGTAATAAGGGGAGAGACTGTAATCAGGTTAGTACAAAATAACATGAGTAAAACAGAGTAGGGTTAAACCTGAAAAAAATAAACGTAACAAAACAGCGAACGTGTCGGCAGAAAGCCTTCGTCAGCGAACAAAACAACAGAAAAAACGGTATAAAAATAAAAAATAGCACTTAGCTGGTAAGTAGTATCTGTGGGCAGCAATATTGTTTTGTTGCGCTGTTTTGTTGTGTTTATTTTTTCAGGTTAACCCTACTCTGTTTTACTTATTTTATTTTGCTATAAAGTAGATGCTCTGCAGGCACAGACAAAGTGGTGGTGCTATACTGGTTGCTTTGCAGACATAGCCAAAACTGATTTTTTAAATTATTTTTTATTATAGTTAGTTATGCTGATTGCTATGCTGTGACACGCTAATAGAAAGGCATAACCCAATATTAGAAAGGAAAACCAAGACAAATAAAGCAAGTTAAACGTTGTTATACAATCTAAGACATATATTACCATTCCTCCTTGGTTACTGAACACTGCATAACTTCCAACTAGAACATTGTTTGCTACTGTGTGACGAAATACTTCAACATTAAGTGTGTCAACCAAGAGATCTTCTGTTTCCTGAAATAAAAAAATGTAATTCCAGTTAGATATTGATTGCTGGCATAATATTGAGAAACAAGTTATTTAATATTAATGGTGTTAACAAAGTAAACATTAGTCTTAACATATATTCTATACAATTTTTAATTCAATATAATAATTTACAAAGCTCAGATTTTCAAGCTTTTCATCACAAAGTCAATAACAGATTCAGCTATGACCAGATTTAATATTTTCAACTGGAATGACTGCCCATTTAACAAGCATTCAAATCAGAATTTAATAATTTATCTCTTTATTATGACCATCAAATAAATTATCTTTTTAATCCTGCCGTAACACTAAGCCTCACACCTCATTACTACTAGTAGGACTTAAAGCACACTCATTATCAATGCATATTTTGGAAACAGAATTTTTTCACGACACGCAATTATTCATAATTTTTGTACAACATGTAATCTAACTCAAATGGAAGAAAAGGTGAATCATCTGAATCATATTCAAATAAAGAGAGAGAAAAAAAATAGTGTTAACATCTGCTTTACCCTATCCAAGTCAGGGTGGACTAATGCAACATAATCATTACACGCAATGACATTTCCAAGTGCAGACAGTTTCTCTTCAGCTCTGTATATTTTTACTGTATCTGGCAATGCATTTCGTATGTGCTGTAGTTCTTGATCTGTTGTAGTATTAGGGACCAGAAGTCCATGGCGGTTACCTGGAACATTGTCAAAATAAATGATAAGTACAATATTCACCTCCCTTTCTTAAAATAAAAATATTTGCATTAATTCATGATCTTCATACTTTCAGCAAAAACAAGAGATTTTAGAAGCACATTGCGTTTTTGTACACTTAAAAATAATAAAGGAGTTTTTAAAAATATCTTACAACATTAATGCATTCCGATCAATATTGAAGCAATCTAAAAATATCATAAATAAATCACAAATTTTACTCTGCATTGTTGATAATGACTTTTAGATATGAGGAGCCACCTTGTTTGACATACCAACACACATTCTTCCTATTACTCTGCATCCCGCTATACTTGCATGGACGACAGGGATAGTGTCTCCTATCTCTCCTTCAAAGACACTGTAGAACAATATTGGATAAAAATATTATTTTACACATTTTCCATTAAAAAATATGCAAACAAACTCGCAACATAAATTATGCAAGGGAAAGGGACAAGGCATCGTCTACCCACAGTTCCTGCACATCTGGGAGAGGTGCAATGCTCAATTTTGCACCTTGCCCAATTTAATTTTTTTTTTACCTTTAGCAAATAAGGTCATATTTGCATAAAGGTAAAACAAGGTCAAAATGTATGCACTGGTTTTCAATGAAATAAATTAATTAAGTCTGAGTGAATGAAGAACTTTTTTTGTCATTGGTTCATAATTTTACTATTCACTCATCCTCCACACTGCTCACAGTGGACTATTCTAACTAAATTATTTCACATGATCTTGTTAGTTGTATTATGTTGAATAAGTTCTCATATTATTTTATGGCAGTGTCTACACGTCCGGCGCGCAAGACATATATCTCCCGCACTATTTGTCCGGCGACCAAGTCACATGACCGCTGTAACAAAGTGGCGAGAGATATCTTGTCAGTCAGCCTTGTCATGTGAATGCGAATGATTCAAAACTATTGTTAATTTTAAAATCTATTTCTCTACCAAGTAATGTACTGAGTATCTTGAATGCAAATAATAGAAAAAAACTTAAGTGAAAGTGGCTTGTAAACATTTTTGTTTAGTTTGTTATTTGAGTTTTTGTAGCAGTAATCGAATAAAATAAATTAGGGGCCAGTGGAGTAGACAACTAATAAAAGTAAAAGATTTCATTTTAAATTGTTTCAATTGCTACAAGATATTTAAAAACTTCTCATGAAACTACTATTGCTGATGAACATGATACTATAAATATAGTATAAAATATTTTAAATTAAAATTGGAAAAAACAAACAATCCTATACCAGGTATTAATCCTCAAATGATAATAACGTCAAGCGACCACTCTACCACAAGATCACACAATATCTGCCTAATTGCACATCGTTCAGAATAATAACAACTACTAGCCGTCCGGCGGTCACGTGACATGCCGCCGGACATATATCTCGCGCACTATTTGTCCGGCGCGCCGGACGTGTAGACACTTCTTTAACATAGCCTATAAAACTTATAAGTATACTATAATATAAGCCTATAAGTTGTTATAAGTACAAGTTAAGTATAAAACAAGATCATCAAAATCAAATAATAATAACAAGAATCATGCCTCATTCATGTCATTAATCATTAAAATTAAACAAATTATTTAAATTCATTATGTAAGCATATATTAATGAAAAATATAAAGTTATAAAGTATCAGCAATATGTAAACAAGAGAATAGCCTTGAATAGGGTCACAACCAATGTTCCCTCTAAGGTTTTCTGGTTCGTGTGCAAAATCATACAGCTGTGTGCAAAGTTTAACAGCATCAATTTTTGTGTGACAAATTTTACAGGCCACAAACATAAACACACACTAACATGGAAATTTGCTGCGCGGACACTCAAAACTGTAGCGCAGCATCTGTAAGATAGCTGCGCGGTCGCACAGCTTAAAGGGGAACATTGGTCACAACGACAACAGTGTTGGTGCAGCCCATGCCCAAACTTAGTCCTGGCTAAGGCAGTAGGATGCATTACACTCTCCCGATGGCATATTTATGTCTAATAAATAGGGTACTTAGCAGTACTCTGTTATAACTATCTTAATATAAAATGTTTGACTCCCTACTTCTAATACTTAGTACTTAAGTCCTTAGTAAGTGAACTAACTCGCTCGCTGTCACTCACCTATAAAAATTTTCGGACCCACCAATTCCAACAAGACAATAGTTATTGGTGAGTTTGGCAAAAACTCCTATTTCATTGTTTCCTTCAAACTGTGCACGAATGGCCATTTTTAAAAACAGATAAAACGTATACAATGTCTATTGCTGGTATAGAATTTATAGTCTGCAGTAACAAAAGGCTGATTTCGTGACCAAAATGTTATTAAATTGCTACAACGTGAGGAAATCTTGTGAAAAACGTCACTAAATGTGTGGAGCTGACTGATTTTACAAAAATTGTGAATATAGTTTAAAAATATATAACTCTTAAATTCTTTCGCATCTTTTTTTATTTATGAAATTTAGTTAGACGCTATTATAGGTGATTTCGCATTCTCCCCCATCAACTTTTTAGCTAATTATTTGGACAAAGAAACCCCATTATAGTTAAATAGAAAGTTTATAGGGATAGCTTATGTGCGTGTTACCCTATTGCAGTTAGATCAAAATCAAAGGAAATTTCTCTCTTCTAGGGAAATGTGAAAAAAAAAATGCTGTCTCAGTCTTGACGCTATTTTACTATTTTGATGCTGAAAATGAAAACGTTAAATTAAATATTTATTATTATTATTATTTAAATATGCCTATGCGTATAAAATATGTGAATATATAGATTCAATTTTTTTTTTTTAAATCTAGTTTAATACACTGAATTTTAGGTTCTCAAGGGCTTTCAATTCAACACTATCACTAGGCTATATAATATAATATTATATATATTTACATAGAATCATAACAAAACACTACTGTCACTGTGAAAAAATTGAAAAGTCTTTCTAATATAGTAAATTATTTTAAATGCAAACTTATTAAAACTATATTTTTTAGTGTTTTAATATCATTTTAATTAACGAAAACTTTAATTCCATGAATGAAATTGTAATGCAAATTTAGGCACGCATTTAAAAAAAAAGTGGTAACTTTGATATACTTTGGATATAGCAGGCTGTTCATTGGTCAAGTTAGCCTATCTATCTTATTTAGTGTGTTTTTTTTTTTTTTTTTTTTTTTTTTTTTTTTTTTTTCTTTTTTTAAATACATTATTTTAACTTCACTTTTTTTTTTTTTTTTTTTTTTTTTTTTTTTTTTTTTTTTTTTTGTTTGTTTTTGTTTTGCTTTTGTTAAATACATTATATTAACTGCACTTTTTTTTATCGTGGCAGGCTGGGTGATAAAATCTTCGGACGGCTAATTGGTCGACTTCTCGTCAATCCAATCGACCTGAAACTTGGCACATAGACTCGTTGCGTATGACAACACATTGTTCGACCCCACCCCTTGATAAAAAAATTCCCAAGTGCGTAACATTTTTTTCTAAAATAGTTGGGGGAATATATTTGCTGTGTAAAGCGAGTGGGTCATTAAAAAATATTCAGTTCAGGGGTAGAAAAAAGTGTGCGGCCTGGAAGGGGGGGGGGCACTAATTGGGATTCTTTCTATTCCTAAATTAATCTATACATATGCGTACGTGAATTTAACAAATTTAGTTTATTTATTCATCGTAACATTTTTTTGTAAAATAGTTGGGGGAATATATTTGGTGTGTAAAGCGAGTGGGTCATTAAAAAATATTCAGTTCAGGGGTAGAAAAAAAGTGTGCGGCCTGGAAGGGGGGGGGGGGCACTAATTGGGATTCTTTCTATTCCTAAATTAATCTATACATATGCGTACGTGAATTTAACAAATTTAGTTTATTTATTCGAAACTATTTTTTTATTGTTGTTAAAAAATATTAGCTTGTAACTTGTAAATAATTTTTATGGATTCAAAAATAGTATTTTCAACCAGTAAAGAATTCAAAACTTGATTAAACTGTAAAGATTTTGCGTTACAATTACAAGCCTATTAGTATATTATTAGTAAATTTATTATATACTGGACTAGTGACTGATAGTGGTAGCAGCTGATCAATATCAAATATCATTGAATTTGTTGAATTTTTATTAATTATTCAAATTAAAAGACTTTTAAAATAAAGAAATGATTACAACCAAATTTTTCAGTTTAAATTTAGTTTAGTCCCATCTTATAATATTGGTAATATTTGTATACTTTAAAATTTCTTTAAGAGATCACAGGATGAATAATTTATTCGGTTTTCCCGGGTTAAGGCAAAACTTCAGAAAATGAGAAACCCTAAAAATTAGAAACGATTTAATTTCTCGCTCTTCTGTGTTAAGAGAAATATTTTGACGACGTTGGACATCATAGTTTTTATTCTTCTTGCGCCCTCTAGCAGAAATTGGAAATAGAAAAAGGAAGGGAAAAAACATCCCGGAAGTAAAGAGATGAGTCGTTCTTCTTATGTTTACAAATAACACAGCGGCAGAAACGTATTATGCCGTCTATGCATATGGACTTTAAAGATCCACTTCCTATTGAATTTTAAAACTCAAGTGAAATATATTATGAACAAACGTTTGATATAATCAAGTGTGAAGTTTAATTTAATTATTTTACTTTCAAATAGACACAGAACACTTGTTCAGTAAGTATGCATACTATTACTGTATTACTCGATGACTGAGAATCAAGTCCGAGTTAGTCTTACTAAGTTACTTAGTCTTAGTCTTCTTAGTCAAGTGCTGAGTGAGTGAATGCGAGTGAGACTAGCAGTAGCAGTGCAGGTCACATTAGGTACTTGGACAAAATTTTCGAAATGAAGTTACAGCTCTAAGTTTAAGAACTAGTTGGTTAGATATGGCCTGAAAATTAGTGAAAAATCAATTCATTGACTAGGCACTTGAATACAAAATTAAAAAGAAATTGAAATAATTTTTTTAAATAACAGTTAGTTAGAGCAAATTTCAAATAAAAAAATGAAACCAGAATCAACTTTTTAGCTTAAGTACTTTTTGAGCGATGAATTTTTAAAGTGTGAGTTCGTTTGATATTTTTTACCATGGACGAAACCTCCACATCTTGTGACCTCATTCCGCTGATCTCGTCATGCGCAATGACTATATACTTTATATAAGCCAACGCATCACCTTATCACTAAAATACTGTTTAGGATCGACTTAGTTTAAACTTTCAACTTTGGCACATGAATAATTAATTAAAGCTTTCCCTGACCAATGGTATAGTAGTTTTTGCACACGGCAAACTCTTATGAATGAAACTCTGAGGTAGTACTACGATACAGCCATTATGCAAGTGGCTGTGAATGGTTGCCAATGACAACGTGTTGCACACGGTAAATTCTGATCATTTATAATATGGATTCTACCGGGTTGTTAAAGCTCAAATTAAAACATTCCAGTTTAAATGTCTTCAAAATGCACTCTGAAACACAAGTTATCAATTATTTTGCTGTAAATAGTGATAATAAATTAATATTTCCTAAGTATCGGCAACTTCCACCATTAAAAAGGGGACGTGGCCCACCCCATGGCGAAATTAGGTTGAGCGAGCTGAATGACCTACTGTGAACACGTAGAAACATGGTGTCTCTCTTAAGGCACTTATCGCTGGGAAAATTGGCATACATGTAGATCAATAGATTCCCCAGATGCAAAAAAAATTTGGTAGTGACAAATTTTTTCCTTCGACTTAATTTTAATGATGAAAGTTGCCTTATATTTACCAAGGATTTTCTTAAAGCTGACTGATTGTAAATGAAGAAGAAATTGATTAAAATGTAGGCGAAGATGTCTACCTAATTAGAAACGGAACTCAAATATATATCGAAAGTACTAATTTAATAATAAATGGACACACACATCGGAAAATTAAAAAACTCTGATTTTTCGGCGCCGATTGCGAATTCCCATACACAAAAAGTAGTAGTCTCCCTTGACTTACCGAAGTATCTACATTGACACAAATTTATTGTTTTAGGTCAATGCTAAAGAAAAGTAATTTATGATTTATTTTCGGGGGGGTGGTTATTTTGGGATAATTCTGACTTGGTAAATGTTGGTTTGTCGCACCACTTATTTCCCACAGCCGCCATCTTGGTAGAGTGTCATAGCCTCCAAGATGGCGGTAGTTTAAGAAAAGAAAGTAGTGCAAATGCGCGTCTGCTAAAAGTTGGGGGAGGGGAAAGAGAGAGAAACAATGTGCAGTTTTAGCCACTTAACTAAGGGAAATATAATGTTATAATTTAAGTAATTTCAGCCAGTGACGAACTTAGAACTTTTAAAAAATACCTCTAGATACGGGGTAAGAAGTGTCAATGACTTGCGGCCACCCCCTTTCGTGGCATTATTTCAGCCGGTACATTAATTTCGTGGCAAACATAGCAACTTTATTATATCACTCTAGTTCTAGATATGTGTAAAGAAGTGTCAATAACCTGCGGCCGCCCCCTTTCCTGGCATTATTTCAGCTGGTACATTAATTTTGTGGTGAATGTAGCAACTTTATTTGTATTCCTCTAGATATGCGGCCAGAAGTGTTAACGACCTGCAGTCCCCACCTTCCTTCAACTAAAACATGTGGGCTACAGTTACACACTGTAGTAAAAATATTGTCAAAATGAAGAAAAACAATTCAAAATATTTTAAAATAATGAAACCCAATTTACATTTTCATAGAATACAGGTTTACTCACTTTATTGCAGGTTCCACCATGGGTGCCACTTTTCCGGGTTATCCCGGAATTCCGGCTTCGTGAGGCTAAATATTTTTCAGCTCCGAATTCACGAGTTTTTATATTCTCTCGCTCCGGATTCACCAGTTCAATTATTCAAATACAGATTCTGTCTGGGCTTTTTTTTAAAAAAATCGGCGTGTAACGGAATGCGTGAAAGACTGTTTAAATATAGCGAGAGCTGGTTCGCTAAAAATGGGAAAATTCCTTGAATATGGACGTTAATCGCCGATCGGGTCTATTTCTAGCCTTTCTGTCGCCAGAGTGCTAGTGGTTTCCCCTGCGCATGCATTTTGAGCTCTACACGTTTCGAGTACCGTACTACTTTGATAGACCATAAATATTTCTTTTCTGTTCACAACGCCGATCAAGAGATATTTGAAGTGTTTGGGTAAGCATAGTCTATTAGTAAATTTTTTTTTGAAATTAGGTTTTAATTGTTGGGTAAATATAATTATAAATAGAAAACTACTCATCCAAGGGCTGTCTAACAAGACTAAGCTTAGCGTACTTTGTAACTTTGTTATTTTTTACTGTATGCAGGCGACATGTATTTTTTTATTAGAAGAGCTAGGCAGCGTTTAACTTTTTTTAAAGACCTCCTGAGTTCACTTTAATTTAATTTTTAAAAAAGCCAACACCACCCTAGGTTTAATCCGAATAAATCTGCGCCACTGCACAACTTCCTACAAACAGAATGCCTATCTCGCACTCGAATATGGTGCGATCATCTGGGATCCACACCTTAAGCAAGATGTGGACGCGATGGAGCAAATGCAACGTAACGCGGTGCGCTTTATCGCCCGCGACTACAAATCCACCACTCCTGGCTTCGTCACTGGCCTCTTAAAAAGATTTGAAATCCATCTCCTTAAAGACAGATGAGAGGGACTCCGCCTGACATTCTTATATAAAGTGATCATGCGACTGTTGCCGGCCATCCCAGCAGGCTCGTACCTCACCCCACAGAAGCCGGGTAGACTGATCAGAGCAAAATGCTCACTGAACACGGACTTCACCACTGACATTCCCATAAACAATTACACCAGAAACAATAGCAAATGCTTCAAAGTGCTTCAGTGCAACACAGTGCAGTATCAACAATCTTTCTTCCCACGCACAATAATACCATGGAACAACCTGAACGATTCCACTGTGAACTCGACATCAGTCGAAAGCTTCAAGGCTGCCCTGGCATCAGCTAGGAGCTGTTAGAATAGCAACATCATACCCCCAACCGTTGCAAAGATGGCAGTACATGGATGCAGCAACGAAACATTACCGGAACCAGAATTACAGTATAAGCCTTCTAATTTAAATAGGATAATATGATTACGTTATTTTTATCCGTTCAGTAGGGAGCCTAACATAACTGTATTTAGTTAGTCTTTATTTATAAGTTATGCACTTCTGTGTTCTGACTCTGGGTATACTTTACGGTAATTCTACTATTACTATTATTCATAATGCTCTTTATTGCCGTAGTTTAGTACTGGTATAATATAGTCTATATTATGTATGCCTTACTATAAATTATAAATCTAATATGATAATATTAATATATTTTATTTTGTTTCAATATTCAGGATCTAGGCTCAATAAAATAATGTAATGCCCAACAGTTCCTTTAAATAACTGATGGGCACTACAGCAATCATGCTTGAACAAGTCATCATTGCTGTACTATGCTGGAAATATTGATATCAAGTATTCAAGGGGAAAATGTTTAAAATGTCAATCATCTGATGAGACCAGCTTTATCACCTATCTTAGGTGTCCACTTCTGCAACTTCTCAATTTATGTGTTAAAATATGAAACACTCACACTTGGGAGATTTGTTCATTTGTTTTGTATTTCAATATTGTTTTTAATTGTACAATTGCATGCTATTATTTGTATTAACACAGAAGCTGTGTTGCGATAGTGAGGAATGTTTTGTTTTTAATTAGGAAAAGTTGGGAAAAAGTAGTTTTAAAAAAAAAAAAATCTCATTTAAATTATTTTAATCAACCACCCAATTAAATATTTATATACAATATTCCATCGGCATATTAATATTATAAAAAAGAAAAACTAACTCTAGTAAAAATCCAAGAATAAACAAAAGGGAGAGAATCCTACACAGAAACTCAAAGTGTCATGGCGAATTGAAATTTTCACTGCAGTACCTTTACAGTGTAATAGTGAATTTAATTTGTGGTTACTTATAGTTATGAGTTACCTTACTACTACTTAAAAGATTTAATAAGACTGAGAAGACAAATTCATAGCGAATAGTGCCAGCATGAGAAGTCGTCTTAGTGTAAAATTTCCAGGAAAGTGGATAACTTATATTTATGCTTTAATTTATTATATAATTGTGGCAATGTGCCACTTTTTGTAACTGCATTTTTTAAACATTTTTATATGCGACTGGGTGCCAACTATGGGGCAAAGAAGCATGCTCCTGTGAAACGATTTTTTACTGAGGTGTGTTCACATTCACTGAGCTGGGGCACTGGTAAAAAGCTCATGACATGGAGGTCATTGTGGCTACATAAGGCAGGGAGGATTTAAACCCGGGCCTTGTAATTTCTGAGCTGAGATTTGGAGTGTGTGTGTGGAACGGATACTTCAAGTCGTCTGCATGTGTGAGAGACTGTCTGTTTAACAGCTTGTACCTCAAGAATAAAAGCTATACTTCTCAGACCTGCATTTCATTTTTTGTGTATTTAAACTGTAATAAGCCTTGTCAACAGACGGCTACATAACAATGACATAAAATACATGACATCCTTTGTGACCTATTATTGCCACATTTTTCAACTGACCTGTCACAACTTTAGACCGCATGTATTTGACTGTTTTCATTTTTTTTTTCGAGTCCATTTAGATCCAGTTAATATTTTTAATGAAATAGTGAAACGAGGTATGTGGAAGCTTGAAATAAGGTAACAGGACAAAAAAACAAGGACGTTTCGGCATAAAGCCTTCCTCAGCCAACAATAGAAATGAAAATATAACAAAGAAAAGAACACAGTAGAAAACTCAAGCAGTATTCATTCGTCTCTCCGAATTACTTATATAATGCTTAAAATGTTACATTTACGTTTACAGTGTTGCCAAGTATGGGAGCTAATTTTTACAAATGGATATTATGTTTGATTATACGCTGTGTGTTTTTTAGAGATTAATTAGTGAATACTCTTCCTCTGCTTGACTTGGTGACATATGCTTATTGTGATGTATTGTCTAGTCTGTTGTGTAACATACGTTTTCGTCGTGAAAGGAGGTTGTGTTTTATTTCTTTTCCTTCTGTATATGGAATTAACAGTCTGTGAATCTAATTAGATATTAAAGTTGTATTTACTATGTAAAAGGACTTGAGTTGATTCAGTGCTAGTACCATGTATTACATGTGAAAGAACTTGCTGAATTAACCAATCTAGTATTAACAGAAGTTTGACAACTGTCAAAATCATATGATTAATTTAGGCCGTGACACAGTAACACAGATGCATCTATTTAATTTTTAGCTTTAATTTAGCTATCATCCTTAACAAACAGAAGCATATGATGGAACTCAGCTATAGAATTGTTATGATTAAAACATTGCTATAATATTTTTTAAAAAATCATTCCAGTTATGAAAAAAAATTCTGTGCCCAACATGCCTGTGAGTGAACGAGCGAGCATCGCCCAGGCTCCTTCCAACTTAAAGTCTCTGCCCCCAACTCCTAGAAACTTCAGAAATGTTAGTGCTGACATAAAAAAAGTCGCAGTCACAATGCCTGAGAGAGATGCTGCCGGGCAGAAAAATGCACAGCTGATTGAATTCAACCAGGTTTGTCATCAGTTTTATTTTATTATTCATATTATCCTGCATAACATTACCTTGCCTAATAATAACATAACCTTGCCTATAATAACATTACTTGGAATAACATTACCTTGCCCATATGCAATTAGTCTGAGAGACTAAACCAGTCATGTAATTACTTGTGATAAATCAGTCAGTTTAGTCATGACTTAGTTTTATTTTTAGTATAAAGCTAAAGCCAATATTCTGAGCCTCAAGATGCAGGCAAAGTCTATCTGGTTTACACATTCAATCCATAATTTAAATCTGGTATTCAATTACTTTATTACGGGGTATCATGCAATTCACGCATAATGTGAACCGTAACTTTTTATTTGAAAAAAAACCCTAAATGCCATGTTCTTGTATGATAGAGTCTTTTAGTCTTGTCCATAACAAGACTTTTTCCTCCGGAAAGGGGAAAAATGAGGTTAGAAATCAGTTGATTCAATAACTTTGTCAAGATGCCAATATTTATACCTCTGTATTCAATACTGTATAGGCTCTGTATTACTCTAGCTGGCTTAATTATCGTTGAATTAATTACATCTAAATAGTTATCAAATCATGCACAATCGATATCACAATAGCTATCAATTCATTGTAAAAAAATCAAAATTTGCTGAAAACTGGACTTAAAAGAAGTACTTTTATTTAAAACTTGTGATTTATCGATTTAGTCAACATGTTGAATGTCTATGCTGTAAAGGGGAGAGAACTCAAAAACATTTCTTTTGGTTTTGTTGAATATAAAGTGTTAAGGAAAAAATTGTAACACCCATATGCATATGTACATATATTCTGAAAGATTACTTCAAGTATCATTTTTTACCCTAAATTTCTCATGTTATACGTGATGATATACGGATAATATGTGGAGGTGCTGGGTTGCAGAGCGGTCTAAACTGAATCATTTCAAAAACCTGTTGGTCTGGAGTTCAATCCCCACCAAAGCCTAGACAAGCAACATCGCCAGCACCCGTTAACCTTGGACGGCAACTCATCTAAGAGAAGGCAAACTCAGAATTGAAACCCGGAGATGGAGTCCTTGTAGGCAGATAACATTGACAATGAATATTCCGGAAACTCCTGCGATGCTAATGGTAGCAGGCTGATCATCCACGTGTGATTTTCCCTTGTCTTATCTGGGTCCTTGGAGAGAGAGGCAATTTTCCCTTGTCTTATCTGGGACCTTGGAGAGAGGCAATTTTCCCTTGTCTTATCTGGGTCCTTGGAGAGAGGCAATTTTCCCTTGTCTTATCTGGGTCCTTGGAGAGAGGCAATTTTCCCTTGTCTTATCTGGGTCCTTGGAGAGAGGCAATTTTCCCTTGTCTTATCTGGGTCCTTGGAGAGAGGCAATTTTCCCTTGTCTTATCTGGGTCCTTGGAGAGAGGCAATTTTCCCTTGTCTTATCTGGGTCCTTGGAGAGAGGCAATTTTCCCTTGTCTTATCTGGGTCCTTGGAGAGAGGCAATTTGCTGTCTAAGGAACCAGCTTATCCTCCTATAGAAAAATCCTGGTGATTTCTTCCTTCGAAGTCTGCACCATCATCACATTGTGACGGATGGATGCTAGAAGAAAAAAAATATGGATAGCCATATTTTTTTGTCATTATGAATTTTGCACGATCAGTTTGCTACAAATTATGCAGAAGTTGTCAAAATGTGAATGCAGTTTAACATTTTAGTTCATTTGCTGTTGATGGTAGTAGAAAGGTGTTCAAGAGAATGATATGGTGGAATAGAGAAGACTCAAGTTATTTCTGAAAAAAATTATGTTTAAAAATAAAGTTTCATGAACACATGAATTTGCTTTCTGACTTGTATGAAGGTAACTCTTTCCTGCTCAAAGTACCACACAGTCTATTCTCACATCTTGTTTTTCAGACTTTGCCTTTAGAATCAATTATTCAAGGCATATGTGCAGAGTAAGTATTTATTGGCTGTGTAAAATATGTTGTTTAATTTAAGTGAGGCTATAAATTATCATTCATTCTCTATCTGAGTAATATAATCAAGTATTTCTAAGTCTTTTTGAAATAAGGATGTTAATATCATCTTTTACTTTGGCCTACCAAAAGTATCAGTTTTTAAACAAATCTGATTTAGACTTAATTTAAAGTATCTAAATTAGCTTCCCAATTTAATTATCATTGATTAAAATTTTTTTAATAAGAATTAATTAGGCAGAAGGTCATCTATTTTTAGCTATCCTCTTCACTGTTCCATTCTGAAACTAAACACCAAAGTTTTGTATTCGCTTTTGTAGTCACCTCTTGAACTAATTATACGATTTTTGGAGTTCAATTAAACTAAAATTTTCAAGTAAATTTATCAGTCACAAATAAGTAATTGTAAATAAAACACTATAGGTTGAGCTTTGATAATGATTACACAGAACAAAAATGTAAACATTTTGGCAAACGCCTTCATCTGTACCAAAAAAAACAAACCCTTCACATAAGTATAAATTAAATTTACACAATATATGCATATATATTAATGTATGTATGTATTTATGTATGTTTCCTACCTAAAAATGAATCAAAACAAAAGAATACTAGTGGTACAAGTCCCCAACTGAAACAAAGCTCAGAAGAACTTTAAGAGAAGTCACTGGAATAACTTGAATAATCATGATGTGTACCTCATAAACTTACGTACTTGTAACAAAGTGTCCAATATTGAATGTTTGCCTTAATCCTATAATTTAATCTGCACATACTCCAATCTTCAAAAGCTTAACAACCTCAGATTTCATTCTAGGCACCTCATCTAGTTTTAGAAATTAACTTTTTGCCCCAAAAATAGTAATGTAGTTCACGCTGGTTTTTATACACTCCAAATAGTACTCTAGTTCCTACTGGCTCTTGTATACACCAAATAGTAATCTAGTTCCCACTGGTTCTTGTATACACCAAATAGTAATATAGTTCCTACTGGCTCTTGTATACACCAAATAGTAATCTAGTTCCACTGGTTCTTGCATACACCTCAGTTTCGTTTGATCAGTAAAATAAGGAAATGTTTTATATTGAGACTCAAAATTATATTCTAGAAATATTCTAGAGTTGCTTCAGAGAATTTTAAAACTAGTTCCAAGAAAAATAGCAGTTGAGATAATATTAAATGTAGAACTTTCTTCATGATTAGTTTATTAAGTTCAAATTAATCATAGTGGAATGTTTGCGAATTCTATATTTATTTATTTTTTCTTGTCATTTACGCTTGCAGGTGGAATTTGGAAGACATAAGTTCATACGCGCTACGCTTCAATGAAACCAACCAGAAAATGTACATCACAGAAAAAGTAAGTCTGGATTAACTTATTACACTATCCATAAGTGCATTACAGAAAAAGTAAGTCTGAATTTACTTATTACACTATCCATATGTACATCACAGAAAAAGTAAGTCTGAATTTACTTATTACACTATCCATATGTTCAACATAACTTGTTTTGATTTAAGTTAGCAAGCACTTTTTTAAAATATATCTATTGTCTACACCATTCATTTCATTGATTCATTAATTCATTATCCACTTATCCCATTCAATAATCCACTCATTTACTAATTCTCTTTGTATTAAATTGACTTTGATACTTGTTTCAGAACCGTAAAGACATTCAGAATGGACAGGTTTTAAATCTAACCCTATCAGCTGTAAGTTGTTCTTAGAATATTGAAATGAATGAGTGGAGTTAAAAAGTACATTAAAATCATTGAAGCCTCAAACAAATTGGACAAAAATATCTTTACATAAAACACTATGTATAAACATATCTTTAAATACAACACTATTTATAAACATATCTTTAAATACAACACTATTAACATATCTTTAAATAAAACGCTATATTTAAACATATCTTTAAACACAACACAATATAGAAATATCTATTATGCTCTTTAAAAAAAACAACAAAGAAACAAGTTTAAATTTTCATAATTTTTTAAGGAAGGTGACAAAAGTATTAGGAAGAGGGGACATAGTTACAGGTGACATAGTTACAGGTGACATAGCTACAGGTTACATAGCTACAGGTGACATAGGTACATGTGACATAGTTACAGGTGACATAGTTACAGGTGACATAGCTACAGGTGACATAGCTACAGGTGACATAGTTACAGGTGACATAGCTACAGGTGACATAGTTACAGGTGACATAGTTACAGGTGACATAGTTACACATGACATAGTTACACATGACATAGTTACAGGTGACATAGTTTGTTGAGGTGACAGAAGTGTCTTAATTAGAGATGACGTATTTAGAGTGGACTTTGAGGTGACTTAGCATGATGTGACATAGTTAGATGTGTCTTAGCTAGAGTTAACATAGCTAGAGGTGACATAGTTAAAATGACATAGAGGTGACATAGTTAAAATGACATAGATATGACAGTTAACCTAGAGGTGACATTGTTAGAGCTTACTTGGTTAGGGATAAGCTAGTTAGAGGGCGCATAGTTAGATACAATAGAAGTTAGAGCTTAGAGCTGAAATAAAAGTAACTTAGCAGTGACATATTTAGAGTTGACTTAGAGATGAATTAGAGGTGGTTTAGTTGGTGATGACAAAGTTAGGGATGACTTACTTAGAGGTGACTGAGTCAGAGCCGACTAATTTTGTGAAACTATTTTCTCCACTTCCAGGGCAGAACAGCTAAAGCTATAAAACAAGCGTTAAGTGGGTCAAGGCTAGAGGACAAGAATTCAGCCCTGCGTAGTCTGTCTTTCCTTTCATCAGACATAACATTTTCTGAAGAGTTTGTCAAGATCCAAGGTCATATATTACTCATTGATATTGTCACAGGAGGAAACTAGTGAGTCATGTCCCCCCCCCCCCCCTTATTTTTTTTTTTTGTTGTTGTAATGTAGCACTTAAGTTTCTAAAAACAAATACCATATTGATGAGTTGCCTAGAGTTGTTGCCTAGGGCTGGATCTAGAAATTCTATTCCAATACCTTGTGTTTGATATCAATGGAGATTTTATTATTTTTTTTTCAGCTAGTGTAAATTTTTTTATTAGTTAAAAAGCTCTGAGCTATGTTTTTGTGAGGCAAAGATTAAAAAATGTACATGACTAAGTCTTTCTGAAATTCCAGCTGGAGCCAAATTTAAAGAATTTGATAATAGTAATACTATTATGACACCTGCATATCAACGGGTTTTGAATTTCCGATCCTAAAAATACATAAGCAGGGGGGTGGTTTATTCTTGATATGAAATAGCTGGCTTTTTCTCCTTGACATAACGCTAAACTTAAAAGCTTAAGCTGTCATTGGGAACCAACTAATACTTTTTATGGATCATATCCAAATTATAAGCTATTTATTAATTGACTGATATGAGAAGACTTTTTTTAACAAAGTCTGTTCAACTATTTTAAACTAGAGTCCTTTATTTCCTTGGTTGATTCCTGGCTGTGCTAGCATCTGAATGATATAGAGTTGATTCCTGGCTGTGCTAGCATCTGAATGATATAGAGTTGATTCCTGGCTGTGCTAGCATCTGAATGATATAGAGTTGATTCCTGGCTGTGCTAGCATCTGAATGATATAGAGTTGATTCTACAGACTTGCAATGTTAGTGTCTGAATGATATAGAGTTAATTCTACAGACTTGCAATGTTAGTGTCTGAATGATATAGAGTTGATTCTACAGACTTGCAATGTTAGCATCTGAATGATATAGAGTTGATTCTACAGACTTGCAATGTTAGTGTCTGAATGATATAGAGTTGATTCTACAGACTTGCAATGTTAGTGTCTGAATGATATAGAGTTAATTCTACAGACTTGCAATGTTAGTGTCTGAATGATATAGAGTTGATTCTACAGACTTGCAATGTTAGCATCTGAATGATATAGAGTTGATTCTACAGACTTGCAATGTTAGTGTCTGAATGATATAGAGTTGATTCTACAGACTTGCAATGTTAGCATCTGAATGATATAGAGTTGATTCTACAGACTTGCAATGTTAGCATCTGAATGATATAGAGTTTATTCTACAGACTTGCAATGTTAGTGTCTGAATGATATAGAGTTGATTCTACAGACTTGCAATGTTAGCATCTGAATGATATAGAGTTGATTCTACAGACTTGCAATGTTAGCATCAGAATGATATAGAGTTGATTCTACAGACTTGCAATGTTAGCATCTGAATGATATAGAGTTGATTCTACAGACTTGCAATGTTAGTGTCTGAATGATTTAGAGTTGATTCTACAGACTTGCAATGTTAGCATCTGAATGATATAGAGTTGATTCTACAGACTTGTGTCGCGAAGCGTTTCTTCTGTATGGCCAAGTCTTTCACTGCACTCCGTTCAGCAGCACACCATACACAAACAGTCACCAATGCAACAAACAGCAACCGGTTTGTTGTAAACGAAAGTTTATTTATCACTACTCGATGAACAAGACTTGATGTATAATTTCAGAATTTGATAATAAATCACTCCAACCAAATATTAATCAACATACCAATCCAAACACTTCTGCCAGTATATTCCCCATCAATTCTCTCAGCACAACACTTAACAGTATTCAATCCACAACAGTCAATGTAGCACATCCGCCATCACTCTTCTCTAACCACCACGAAAACTAACGCGTCACTTCCCACTACACAATTACGTCACACACTCTCACACAAACGATACGGCTGCACATAAAATCTCTAACGAACATCTTTTCCCTATCAAACATGACAACAACGCTCTACACATAACATCAGTGATTCTCATACCCTCGACATATCCCCCCTCTTCCGCTAGATTCTACTCCACGAGTAGAATCTTTCAAAATGAAAAGTCAGGGTATGGAATCACTGTTGGGTCATACTGACTCATACAGCAAGTAACAATCTCAAAGCAGGTTATTTACCACCTGTAACATCGGTTTCTACTTCTACCTTCTAATTAGATAGATTTTACACGCATAAACAACAACAAAAATCATGGGTTATTTATGTCATATCTAAATAATTACTGTTCATAATAAATCAACGAAGAAAATCCTTACAATAACATTATGATTTTAAGGCAACTAATCATCTTTGACATCTGTTTACAGAACCAACTCACTAATAATAAATAAACCTTTACAAGTGGCAAAAAATGGCCAAAAGACAAATGTCAATATCCGTCAATTCATGAGGACAGCCATAAATTGTCCAGTCTACTACTAAGCTTTTAAGGGCGGAATATTTCGCTTGTCCGACGCCTGGTAGAAAGTATGCAAACCTGCATTCCAATTTGATCCTCCCCAGCCAACCATTACTTGTCTCACCACACATGACACCAAGTCAACCCACAACAACAACAAGCATGTCACGCCCAACACCAATGCATGACCCATGGGCACACCACAGTGTCCACACAAACCAGCAATACAAGACTCGCAACCCTCACCTCCCGGCTCAAGGAAACCCTTCACCTCCTCAACACAATCAAAATCCTCATTCAACCCACAGTCCGAGCAATGTCCGCTCTCAACCAATGAGCCCTCCTGACTCTCGCGACACAAATCATCAGCCACAGCAAAGGTCCCGTCATCCAACCCCACACCAGGGAAAAAGTTCACCTCCTCCACGGAAACTATGTAGCCACGCTTAAACCCGCTAGCTACAATCAGATTTTCTGAGTCTAAGATAGACTCAACCCTATGATGGTTCTCAAACTTAGAGCAATCCGTGTCTTTAATTCTACAAACTTCAACAGTCGGACTACTATCCTCATAGCTCCACATGAAATGATTTTCAACGACTTCTACTTTATTGTATTTACGTCCCCATCTTGGGACAGCCTTTGACAAGCTCCCGATTTCAACTTCGCAAACACCGTGACCTGTCCAGGTCCTAACACCTACAAAATCTCGTGCACAACACAAATCATCATTCTCAACAAAGTGCTGCCGCATAAACCCAAAATCTCCCTGTTGTACGAAAGCAAAAGAACCCTCTGTTACATTATCAAAGCATCTCTCGTGTGTCATAGCACAGCTCTCATGTTGTGTATTATCAAAGCATCTCTCGTGTGTCATATCACAGCTCTCATGTTGTGCATTATCAAAGCATCTCTCGTGTGTCATAACACAGCTCTCATGTTGTGCATTATCAAAGCATCTCTCGTGTGTCATAACACAGCTCTCATGCTGTACATTATCAAAATCAACAGCCCGTACAGTATCACCAGTGTCGTCTTGTACTCCATCAAAAAAAATACATTGTCCAAAATCACACATTACATTTTCATCAACAACATCTACATGGACTCCACTATAAGCATCATGTGGTATGTCATCAAAAATCATATCCTGTACAAAATCCAAATTCACATGTTTAACACGTAAAAAATATGTATCTCGTGTTTCCCCTCTGTTTTCTATTATGGTTACCACCTCACTAGATGCTACAGAGAACTCCCTGTCCCTACACTCCGTTACAATGGCTTGGGATTCCTCTGGATAGCTATCCTCTTCCACATATCTGAACTGATTCTTCTTAGTTTCTACTTCTGCTCTGTAAAGGCTATCATGTGCTTCCTTCCCTGACCTCTCGCTATACCTATTCTCTCTAGTGTAAGGATTATCACAGTTAATACTAATTATCCCATCTATTCTAGCGCTATCCCATTCTAGTCCCTCACAATCGCTATTGTCACTGTCATAAAATTCTTGACTCCTGATTTTTTCTTTTGTTTCCCCGTTTTGTCTGGCAATGTGTTCAAAGTTTACAATGTGATCGTCCGGTTCCTTGTCGCTGTCGTATTTAAGGAGCCATAAGTGATCATTTTTGTTGGGTCTTGTTTGGTCACCATTACGTATTGTAACCCCATTTTTTATTTTGTCTAATTCAATTTTTTTATCTGTTTCTATTTTCAACTTCTTAAGTTCATATTCCCTTTCTTTGATTCTTCTCTTTTCTTCTCGCTCTTCTTCTTCCCTTTTTCTTTTTTTTTCTCGCTCCTCATTTTCCCTTCTTCTTTTTTCTTCTCGCTCCTCCTTTTCCCTTCTTCTTTTTTCTTCTCGCTCCTCATTTTCCCTTCTTCTTTTTTCTTCTCGCTCCTCCTTTTCCCTTCTTCTTTTTTCTTCTCGCTCCTCCTTTTCCCTTCTTCTTTTTTCTTCTCGCTCCTTTTCTTCACTTTTTCTCTTTTCTTCTCGCTCTTCCCTTCTTTTTTCTTCTCGCTCCTCTTCTTGTATTTTCCCCCATTGGTCCCTTACAAATGTATCTAACTCCAGTCCCGTAAATCTGAGGTACTTTTCTCCCACCTCCCGAATTTCGGCTATTATTTCCGATATGGTTCTCTTAGGTTCCATGTGTAATAATTTACTCCTACAAATTTATATGTTCAAATACTGTACAGCTTTTCTCAATATAAGATAAATACTATAATCTTAAATAACTATAATAATAATACTTATGTACTTAACATGTTACTTAACTGTGCTTGACTTGACCTGTATCGAAAACACACAATATAAGAATGTCACAGTTTTAGGTAATAGTGTCTAATTGGGCCTACTTTGTTGACCCGGTGGCATGCACTGGTGGTAGATGCATAGGCGCTCCGGTTGTAGGTGCGGCGATGATCTAGATGCGGCACAGTGACGATCCGGTCGGTGGTTTGCTTCGTGCCAAGGACAGGTGGACACAGCAAACAGCGGTGTACAGCAACCGGCGGAATAGTTATCAGCGAAACACAGCAAACAGCAGGACACAGCAATCAGCGGGACACAACAATCAGCAGGACACAGTAATCAGCGTGACACAGCAATCAGCAGGACACAGCAATCAGCGGGACACAGCAATCGGCGGGACACAGCAATCGGCGGGACACAGCAATCGGCGGGACACAGCGGCAGGATACGTCAGCAGCGGTGTACAACCCAATCAGCGGGTCACAGCATTGGACGGTTGCCTCAGCTGGGACAGGAGACACACGACAAGCACCTCAGACGACCTCGGACAAGCGACACACAGCCTCAGACAGATGTGCCAGGATGCCTCACACAACGGAGGGTCGATGTTCACAGCCCCGTGGAGGTTGATACTTCCGTGTCGGACAGTGACACACAGCTTCAGGCGGCGACACACAGTTTCGGGCGAACGACACACTGGTTCGGGTGGCGACACAAAGCTTCTGGCGGCGGCATACAGGTTCGGGCGGAGATTATACTGCCCAGCCCCGGACAGGGATGGTAATTCGGACGGCCTGACACTTCACAGCTTCAGACAGGATGATTCTGAACTCCCCTTGATTCGTTCGGACGAGCCCTACACTTCCCAGCTTCAGACAGTATGATTCTTAACTGCCCTTGATTCGTTCGGACGAGGATGATACTTAACAGCTTCTTTCGGACGAGCCCCCAATGTCGCGAAGCGATTCTTCTGTATGGCCAAGTCTTTCACTGCACTCCGTTCAGCAGCACACCATACACAAACAGTCACCAATGCAACAAACAGCAACCGGTTTGTTGTAAACGAAAGTTTATTTATCTTAATCAACATACCAATCCAAACACTTCTGCCAGTATATTCCCCATCAATTCTCTCAGCACAACACTTAACAGTATTCAATCCACAACAGTCAATGTAGCACATCCGCCATCACTCTTCTCTAACCACCACGAAAACTAACGCGTCACTTCCCACTACACAATTACGTCACACACTCTCACACAAACGATACGGCTGCACATAAAATCTCTAACGAACATCTTTTCCCTATCAAACATGACAACAACGCTCTACACATAACATCAGTGATTCTCATACCCTCGACAACTTGCAATGTTAGCATCTGAATGATATAGAGTTGATTCTACAGACTTGCAATGTTAGTGTCTGAATGATATAGAGTTGATTCTACAGACTTGCAATGTTAGTGTCTGAATGATTTAGAGTTGATTCTACAGACTTTCAATGTTAGCATCTGAATGATATAGAGTTGATTCTACAGACTTGCAATGTTAGTGTCTGAATGATATAGAGTTGATTCTACAGACTTGCAATGTTAGTGTCTGAATGATATAGAGTTGATTCTACAGACTTGCAATGTTAGTGTCTGAATGATATAGAGTTGATTCCTGGCCATGCTAGTGTCTGAATGATATTTTATTCTACAGACTGGCCATATATATTAGTGTCTGAATGATTTAGAGTTTATTCCTGGCCATGTTAGTGTCTGAATGATATTTTATTCTACAGACTGGCCATATATATTAGTGTCTGAATGATATAGAGTGGATTCCTGGCCATGCTAGTGTCTGAATGATATAGAGTTGATTCATGGCCATGTACGTGTGAGAATGATATAGAGTTCATTCATGGCCATGTTAGTGTCTAAATAATATAGAGTTTTTTCTACAGACTGGCCATATATATTAGTGTCTGAATGATATAGAGTTGATTCCTGGCCATGCTAGTGTCTGAATGATATAGAGTTGATTCATGGCCATGTAAGTGTGAGAATGATATAGAGTTCATTCATGGCCATGTTAGTGTCTAAATAATATAGAGTTTTTTCTACAGACTGGCCATGTTAGTGTCTGAATGATTGTGATATAAATGTTACTTTATTTTTCCTACAGCAAAGGTGACCCTCTTTCCTACACACTCAAGTCATTTGTGTCCATCATGGAGCATGGCATTGTCAGTTGGGAGATTCTGGATCAAGATTTCATTAGAAAAGTTAGTTTGTCCTAAATGTTAGAATAGGCTAATCCAGTGATAATCAAGGTGGAGGGTGCCATACTAAATGTTGGAATATTCTAATCCAGTGATAATCAAGGGGGAGGGTGCTGCCCACCAGGCTGGGGGGGTGGGGGTGGGGTGGCATTTGGTCTGTTGGAAATACTTTTTAAAAAAAATTTAAATTATAAAAAAAAGGTTAGGTCTTAAATTTGGTTTTCATTGTCAGTAGCAAAGAAGAGTTGACGATGGAGGTATTTCTTCTCCAAATAAAGAAGAGATTGTTTCTGTTTTTAAAACAGGTGGGCCATATGAACCGTGGTTAATACATTTAATACATTCAAATTTAACTAGACCCTGTGAGCATTCAACTCTTAAGGCTGAGAATTTTGGGAAAGACTTGTATAGCATAATGATATTAAAAGCTCTGAATCAGATGACTTTGAAGAAGTTGAATTTTTCCTTATGGCTAATGTTTGTAGGTTTTGCAGCAGATGAAATTTTGGAGCAAAACAACAAATACTTGAGTTCATATTTTAGAGTAGTTCAAAGCCATTATAGGATTTTCTTTTAATGGGTGAAAAAATTTTTTTTTTTAAATTTCAATGCAGTTTTTGTAGTAGATGAGGGGCTTATTCAGCAAAAATAATTTAATTATGACAATTATCATCAAATGTTGTCCACCGTGAATAGCTCCTTGTGACATTCTCATCACTGTATTTGGTGGAAGGTGGTTTTTAGCAAAGAAATATTATATACCATATTACAAAAATTGATTTCCCATGACCAGAACTCAACACGTGCCTCAATCACATTAAGAATATCTCACCAGTGTAGCCATTAAACATCTCAAACATTTGCTCAATAATGGTCCTTATAAGTTACTGCTGGATTATAGTAATCAGATTATTGTGTTAGACATCTCAAACATTTGCTCAATAATGGTCCTTATAAGTTACTGCTGGATTAAAGTCATCAGATTATTGTGTTAGACATCTCAAACATTTGCTCAATAATGGTCCTCAAAAGTTACTGTTTAATTGTTTAATTTACACAATTATAGTGTTTCATTTGTATTTTGATTAATTGTTCAGACATATATTAAAACGTAACATTTCATTCTGTTGTTATCTCCCATAGAGGCTCATAAAAAACTTTATTCCGAAAGTGCTCATAATTTATTTTAGGGGGGGGGTGGGGGGGGGGGTCGAAGCAAAATTATAGGACGTAAAAAAATTGAAAAACAAATGGTCTAATCAATGTTCAATAAGACTGTCGTTGGGAGACATCTATGTAGAGAAGAAATGGTCTAATCAATTTTCAATAAGACTGTCATTGGGAGACATCTATGTAGAGAAGAAATGGTCTAATCAATTTTCAATAAGACTGTCATTGGGAGACATCTATGTAGAGAAGAAATGGTCTAATCAATTTTCAATAAGACTGTCATTGGGAGACATCTATGTAGAGAAGAAATGGTCTAATCAATTTTCAATAAGACTGTCATTGGGAGACATCTATGTAGAGAAGAAATGGTCTAATCAATTTTCAATAAGACTGTCATTGGGAGACATCTATGTAGAGAAGAAATGGTCTAATCAATTTTCAATAAGACTGTCATTGGGAGAAATCTATGTAGAGAAGAAATGGTCTAATCAATTTTCAATAAGACTGTCATTGGGAGACATCTATGTAGAGAAGAAATGTTATGTAATTATTTGGAACGACAAAACTCAACCTAAAATGATGTATTAGAATTTAAAAATGGCGTGGGTGGGGTGTGGCTGGGGCTGTTCACAAGTTATTCATATTTAATGTTTATGCACAGATAGATTGTATATTTTTTTTCTAATTTAGTTACAAACATTGGTTTGCAGATGCAAGAATGTCTCATCAGACATGTAGTCTGGCTATAATGTGGAGTCAGCACTTCTATAGTCCATTTTTTACCTGCAGTCTTCCTAGACTTTGATTAGCATTCTAGCTGGATTGATATTATATGAGCGATAGCGTGTTGTCTCTACTTAACATTATAGTTAAATGCCTTCATTTCACTTCTGCGTATTGTTTATTTCTCTGATTCAGGTAGCAGAATGTGTCAATGTTTCAGCCAATAATTTAGACACGCAGTGTCTTCAGTCAGCCCTTGACATACTGGAGTCGGTTGTTCTATATTGGTAACTATCATTGGTATACCAACTATATTGGTAATATATTAGTACAATCACATACTCAGATAAGCATTTTTATAATTATCAAATGTTTGATATCAAATTATTAGGTGTGACAACTTCAATTGTTGTTATTTAGTCATTTCTATCCTGTCATTTCTACACCACACCACCCACACAAATACTACTACACCCCCATACAGCTACTGCTACACCCCAGAACAGCTTCTGCTACACTTTAAAAACAATTTAGTTACATCACAGTGATACTTTAAAAACAATTTAGTTACATCACAGGGATACTTTAAAAACAATTTAGTTACATCACAGTGATACTTTAAAAACAATTTAGTTACATCACAGTGATACGTCAAAAACAATTTAGTTGCATGACAGGTATATTTTAAAAACAATTTAATAATGTACTAATGGATAGAACATGTACCCATTGTGAGAATCATTGATTTGCATTGAATGGATGTTTTATTCTTGCATTATGTCAAAGCTAGAGCAAGACCTTTTTGTGCTTTTGTCAAATATATCTAATGCATTTTTTTTCATTTCTGATTTTTTTTTTTTCTTGCGCAGTTCGGGAAAACAAAATGTCATTGAGCAAGTAGTGACGCCAATCAATGTCATCCCACATTTAGAAAGGTAAGTAGTGACACCAGTCAATTTCATCCCACATTTAGAAAGGTAGGGTTTTTTTACACTATAAGCCTAGTGTTAGGACAGGTAGTCAATGTTATTCCACATTCAGAGAGATGTGTTGCATTTTATCCTATTACTCTAAAATTGGGATAGGTAGAGACCCTCTTAAGGGTGAGTATTTTGGCCACATAATTGATATATAATTATTGCACATGTCCTGGAAACACTGATTGATTCATAGTTTGTACATTTCCTGGCAGCACTGATTAGTTCATAGTTTGTACATGTCTTGGAAGCACTTATTTGTTCATAGTTTGTACATGTCTTGGAAGCACTGATTTGTTCATAGTTTGTACATGTCTTGGAAGCACTGATTTGTTCATAGTTTGTACATGTCTTGGAAGCACTGATTTGTTCATAGTTTGTACATGTCTTAGAAGCACTTATTTGTTCATAGTTTGTACATGTCTTGGCAGCACTGATTTGTTCATAGTTTGTACATGTCTTGGAAGCACTGATTTGTTCATAGTTTGTACATGTCTTGGAAGCACTGATTTGTTCATAGTTTGTACATGTCTTGGAAGCACTGATTTGTTCATAGTTTGTACATGTCTTAGAAGCACTTATTTGTTCATAGTTTGTACATGTCTTGGCAGCACTGATTTGTTCATAGTTTGTACATGTCTTGGAAGCACTGATTTGTTCATAGTTTGTACATGTCTTGGAAGCACTTATTTGTTCATAGTTTGTACATGTCTTGGAAGCACTGATTTGTTCATAGTTTGTACATGTCTTGGAAGCACTGATTTGTTCATAGTTTGTACATGTCTTGGAAGCACTTATTTGTTCATAGTTTGTACTTGTCTTGGAAGCACTGATTTGTTCATAGTTTGTACATGTCTTGGAAGCACTGATTTGTTCTTAGTTTGTACATGTCTTGGAAGCACTGATTTGTTCATAGTTTGTAAATGTCTTGGAAGCACTGATTTGTTCATAGTTTGTACATGTCTTGGAAGCACTGATTTATTCATAGTTTGTACATGTCCTGGCAGCACTGATTTGTTCATAGTTTGTAAATGTCTTGGAAGCACTGATTTGTTCATAGTTTGTACATGATGTACCATCATTAACTGAAGTGAACATCTTTGTTTCAGCAAAAGTCAAGATGTACAGAAAAATGCCATTGCCTTGATCAATGCACTCTTTACCAAGGCTGATGAGAGCAAGAGAAAAGTAAGTACCATCAAAAGAATAGTAAGTACCATCAAAATAAAAGTAAGTACCATCATAATAAAAGTAAGTACCATCATAATAAAAGTAAGTACCAACAAAATAAAAGTAAGTACCATTAAAGTAAGTACCCTCAAAGTAAAGATTACTTAGTAGAGAGGATTTATTTATCTTAATCCATCTTTATTTCATGTCAACAAGTCGGTCATAATCATTTCATTTCAACAAGTCGGCTATAATCATTTGAGTTTTTTTTAACTTGATCTTCATTCTTCTCAAACGTTGTCTACAACACATCACTTGTTTCTTCAACATCTTACTGTTAATGAGATCTTCTAAATAACTTAGGAATAATATTCATTTTTATTTTTCTTTCTAGAAAATTGCTGAAAGTCTGCAGTCACAGAAGATGAGGAATAACATACTCAGTGTAAGTAAAGTGGGAGAGGAAGGGAGGCGGGCTAGGAGGGAGGCGGGCTAGGAGGGAGGGAAGGGACAGAAGATGAGGAATAACATACTCAGTGTAAGTAAAGTGGGGGAGGAAGGTAGGAGGGCTAGGAGGGAGGGAAGGGACAGAAGATGAGGAATAACATACTCAGTGTAAGTAAAGTGGGGGAGGGAGGTAGGGTGAGATCAGGGATGGAGGCAGCTTGTATGCAGGGAGAGGGTAGGCAAGGGGACAGGAGGAAGAGAGAGGGGAGGGAGGGAGGGAGGCAGGGCTGAGCTAGAGCTCATTTTGTTACACTGAATGGCTCCCAACTTAGATATTTACACCTCAGTATGGACAAGTCCTCAACACTGACTTAGATATTAACACCTCAGTATGGACAAGTCCTCAACACTGAGTTAGTTTTGGTCAATGTCTTAGTCCTCATTCTGATTAATTTAGTAAAGAGTAGATTGATTATATCAAAGTAAACTGTATATTGATTACATTGATTATATCAATATAAACCGTAGATTGATTGTATCAAGCACAGCAAAGCTTTCAAGAACTTTCGGGAATAGTTGTTAGACACTTGTATTTGGGGTTGTTCAGAATGTTGAAAACAAAGCCCCCTCATATTTCAATGATCTATTTCAGAATGTGATTCGTGGTGGGACCAATGTTGGCTCAGGGATGGCCCATGAGCTCTATGTGCTACAGACCTTGCTGCTCAATCTGAATGAAGACAGGATGAGGAAGGGCGTTGACATTCACGATCCTGTAAGAATTTGTCCCATTTACCAAGATAACCACCCAACAGTGTGTCCCTATTTACCCGAGATAACCACCCAACAGTGTGTCCCTATTTACCCGAGATAACCACCCAACAGTGTGTCCCTATTTACCCGAGATAACCACCCAACAGTGTGTCCCTATTTACCCGAGATAACCACCCAACAGTGTGTCCCTATTTACCTGAGATAACCACTCAATATTGTGTCCTATTTACCCAAGATAACCACCCAACAGTGTGTCCCTATTTACCCGAGATAACCACCCAACAGTGTGTCCCTATTTACCCGAGATAAACACTTAATATTGTGTCCTATTTACCCAAGATAACCACCCAACAGTGTGTCCCTATTTACCCGAGATAACCACTCAATATTGTGTCCTATTTACCCAAGATAACCACGCAACAGTGTGTCATATTGACCCAGATAACCACCCAACAGCTAGTCCCTATTTACCCAAGATAACCATCTAACAGTTTGTCATATTGACCCAAGATAACCATCTAACAGTTTGTCGTATTGACCCAAGATAACCACTCAACAGTGTGTCGTATTGACCCAGATAACCACCCAACAGCTAAAAACATAATCTTATCCTGCCACATATTGAAACAGTTTCAAGATCTCTAATGTAAATCATTTAAAGTCAAGATAATTATCTGACTGGGTTTTAAAGTTTTACTTATCAAAAGTTATCAGAAGAGTTGTTACCATCAGGATATTTAATATACTTGTCGGTTCCATAAAAAACCCAATGGGACTAACAACTGAGTTTGCAGAATGACGTCAATACAATCAGTTTCAAAGGAGTGCCTCTGCCCCCCACTATAAAGAGACGGGAACATTGATTCACATTGTCAATAAGTATTGACAATTTCAATGCTATTCACACTGTCAATGCTATTCACATTGTCAATACTATTCACACTGTCAATACTATTCACACTGTCAATACTGTTCACATTGTCAATACTATTCACACTGTCAATACTATTCATACTGTCAATACTATTCACACTGTCAATACTATTCACACTGTCAATACTATTCACACTGTCAATACTATTCACACTGTCAATACTATTCACACTGTCAATACTATTGACACTGTCAATGGTATTCAGACTGTCAATGCTATTCACATTGTCAATGCTATTCACACTGCCAATGTCATTCACACTGTCAATGCTATTCACACTGTCAATGCTATTCACACTGTCAATGCTATTCACACTGTCAATGCTATTCACACTGTCAATGCCATTCACACTGTCAATGCCATTCACACTGTCAGTACTATTCACATTGTCAATACTATTCACACTGTCAATGCTATTCAAACCGTCAATGCTATTCACACTGTCAATACTATTCACATTGTCAATGCTATTCACACTGCCAATTCTATTCACACTGTCAATACTATTCACACTGTCAATGCTATTCACACTGTCAATGCTATTCACACTGCTAATGCTATTCAACTGTCAATGCTGTTCACGTTCAGTTCTTCTGATACACAAGTTGTAGGAAGTAAACATTGGCCAAATCGTCCCAGTCAATAAGTCGAGATTACTATGACCATCTGAAGTGAAATATTTTAACTCATTGTTTTCAGGCCATTAATCGAGAAATCGAAGAGCTTCGCCGCATTGCCTTCGATGTTGAAGGGGACCCAAATATCAATACCGTTCGTAAATCACAGAACTCATCCAAAGAATACAAGAAACTGGGATTTGAGGTATTTCTAGTAATCCAATGAAGCAAAAAAAAAAAAGGTTTTGTGGTCACTTTTTGGACAGACCATTTCACAAGTTTATCAACTAAAAAACTTCTTTTTTTAAATTGAGCCTTCCACAATCCTTTACTTTATTCAACCAAATTAGTCTTTCTATTTATATGGCATCCTCCCGTCTTCACGAGACGATGGAGTAACTATGTAGTCCTACACTTTGACGAGTGGCTCACTAGGCCAATCCTAGAATGACAATCTCGACTCCATTTCTCGCTGGAGAATATTGATTCCTGGTAAGATCTTGACTTCCGTATTGTTAATTTCATTGCAAGGGCCTCGTTTCGCGTATCTTCTGCCTTTTTTACTCCTTCATACATTGCTCTTCGCCAGCTGGAATGTTGTTCAGCAATGAGCTCCCATTCGTTGTTTTCAATAGTCTTCTATAGGCCATTCAATGCCTGCCATTTTATTAATAAATATATATGCACAGTAACATATAAAAGTGCAAGGCAGATTCAGATGGCTTTCTTGGAGACAGTTTGTTAAAATACATACATCCAATATGTTTTATTTTAAGTAGCAAAATTATTTGTCGATAAGTTGTTTCTAAATATCAAAACTGAGTAACAAAATATTTTGATTGCTGTATGTTTTCAGAATGCCAACCCAATAGAGGACTTTGTTGCCGCCCCTCCTGGTATATTAGCATTAGACGTTATGTTGTACTTTGCTCGTAATCATGGAGAAAACTATGTCAAGGTCAGGCATTGCTTTACTTTTGAAAATTCTAAACTGTTAAGCTTGTACTTAAATAAATGCATTAGTACATTAAATAGTTTCAAGTGATTAGGATGTAATGGTATGTTTTTTTTATGAGTGCTCTAAAGTATCCAAGAACTTCCCCATTTGCTGGCGTAATTTTATGTTAACGGCTGGTCCCGAAATTTAATGACCTAGATGGATTGGTACATACTTATGAGCTTCAGAAGAAATGACATCAAGGTGACCAAAATGACATCTTTGGTTTTGCTTTGGTTTTGAAATTTCCAATAATGTAGATTGATTGGACTAAGATGTAGATTACATACTCACTCTGTATATATATATATGGCAGCCTTCCGTCCTCACTAGATGATGGAGCAGCTTATTGACACATCATCAAATGGCTTAAGAGGCCACCCCTTGAATAGAGGACTCGACTCGTCTTCACTTCTTGCAGGAGAACCTTGACTTCCGGCTAACTTTGATCTTCCGTAATGCTCTTTTGGTTTGCAAGGGCTTTTCTCGCCCGCATCTTCTGGGGGTTTTGATTCTCTCATGCATTGCCGTTTGCCATCTGGAACAGTGCTCATCGATGATCTCCCATTCGTCAATTTCTATGTTGGCTTCCCTCAAGTGCCTTTTGAAAACGTCCTTAAATCACAGCTGGGGCTGTCCAATAAGTCTTCCCCCCCCCCTCTGCATAGTCTCAATACACGTTCTGGAACCAGCTCCCCTTCCATATCCGTCATTGTGAAACTTCGTCCACTTTCAAAAAGTCCCTTAAAACCCATCTGTTTAGGTCCGCCTATGACCTGTGATGCACCCTCCTTGCCCTGCCTCATTTTCTGTCTCGGGTTGATCCTGTAGTAAAGGCCAAAACGTGCCAAAGTGTCCTCGTTTTATAGCCATTTTAATTGTTTCTATAGTATAGTAGTTACTATCCTAGTGTCTCATTTTTATTTTACTTAGTTTATATGTTTTCAATAATTGTAAAGCGCTTAGAGCTTTAAGGGAAGCGCTATATAAAAATGCCTAAATAAATAAATACAGCATATTCATTGGAATACAGACGTTCTCCATTTTACTTACATGGCCTAACTAGCTCTTGTTAAGAGAGGAAAACATGCTACACATTTTGGTATGTTCCAAAACTTCTGTGATAGGCCCTTTGTCCCGCCATTAAATTCATTAAATGTGACGCAGTCATCTTTGGTGGAAGCTGTTCAGTTTCCGCTCATGACTGGCATATGTGGTCCATAAGCTGTTGAGTGACAGCTCATGACTGACATATGTGGTCCATAAGCTGTTGAGTGACTGCTCATAACTGGCATATGTGGTCCATAAGCTGTTAAGTTTCCGCTCATGACTGGCATTGTGGTCCACAAGCTGTTGAGTTTCTGCTCATGACTGACATATGTGGTCCATAAGCTGTTGAGTTTCTGCTCATGACTGGCATATGTGGTCCACAAGCTGTTGAGTTTCTGCTCATGACTGGCATATGTGGTCCACAAGCTGTTGATTTTCTGCTCATGACTGGCATATGTGGTCCACAAGCTGTTGAGTTTCCGCTCATGACTGGCATATGTGGTCCACAAGCTGTTGAGTTTCTGCTCATGACTGGCATATGTGGTCCACAAGCTGTTGAGTTTCCGCTCATGACTGGCATATGTGGTCCATAAGCTGTTAAGTTTCTGCTCATGACTGGCATTGTGGTCCACAAGCTGTTCAGTTTCTGCTCATGACTGACTTGTGGTCCACAAGCTGTTGAGTTTCCGCTCATGACTGGCATATGTGGTCCACAAGCTGTTGAGTGACTGCTCATGACTGGCATATGTGGTCCACAAGCTGTTGAGTGACTGCTCATAACTGGCATATGTGGTCCAAACTTCAAGTCAATTAGGATGAAATGGAATGCTTCATATTCCATATACTACTCTGTAGAATTCAGTAAACCAGTGATAAAATCATTTTAATTTAATAAATCAATATATTACATATACACAAAGAAATCAATATATAATAATAATAATAATAAAGTTTATTTGAAAAACACGCTTCATCCCCAAAAGCTCGAAGCGCGATACAAAGTCAACCATATTAAAAAGAGAAATAAAAACAATCTAAAATTAACACATTTAAAAACAGACGCAACAATATAAAACTACATACGAGCATACCAAGTCAAAGTCTTTCATCCCGTTTCAACCATAAGCAACACAAGCCAATATACATTGACTGAAAAAGATGGTAGATAGCATCATCCCAGAAGGTGTTTGCGAAATAGATGTGTTTTTAAATCGGTTTTAAAGGACTCCAGTGTCTTGCTGTTTCTGAGAGCGACTGGAAGGGCGTTCTAAATTGTTGGGCCGGCAAATGCAAAAGTGCGCTTTCTGTAAGTCTCAAGGCGAACACACGGTATCGATATTTTGGCACTATCGGATGAGCGGAGCTCTCTAGTGTGTACATAAGGCGTCATGAGTGCTTTGAGATAAGATGACGCCAGGTCATGTAAGCAGCGGTAGCACAAAGTTGCAATTTTGTACTCTATATCATTTATATATATACAAATAAATGAAAATATTATATATATACAAAGAAATCAATATATTATATATATATAAATAATTCAATTTATAATATTTATATACAAATAAATCAATATCTTATATATACACCCGTTTGTATTGGGATGTTGGTAAAAACAATAGGTAAAAATCTCAATTACCTTATTGACTGAAGCTATGAGCTTGATTTGTTGAAAAATTAGTTGTTGGTTTCAGCTCAACTAGGCATTCTATGGGAAAACGTGTTGATACTAATAGATTGATTTTGTTGATACTAATAGATTTATTTTGTTGATACTGATAGATTTATTTTAATTAGTCTATCTACTAATGCTAATTGATTTATTGTATGAAAAATTTCCTTTCAGGTTGTCTTAGAAAATTGTACTAGAGAAGATGACCATGACTGCCCATTTGTGCAAGCCAGTAAAATGCTCACCAAAATCCTGTGTGAAATTCTTAAAGTCGGAGAGCCACGTAAGTAATGGATAGACATATTCTTTATTTTTAACATATCATCATCACTGTAAAAATTCTCAAACTCTGAAACCACAAAAATGGAGCCAAGGATTTAAGGACCGGTACCAAGTGCAGACCTGCTAAATTTTACAATTGTTGGGGCACTATGTACGATTTTGATGTGCTATTTGCTATTGTGTACCAAGACCTGTCAGAGCTATGATTTTAATGTGCTATTTGCTATTGTGTCCCCAGACCTTTCAGAGCTATGATTTTAATGTGCTATTTGCTATTGTGTCCCCAGACCTTTCAGAGCTATGATTTTAATGTGCTATTTGCTATTGTGTCCCCAGACCTTTCAGAGCTATGATTTTAATGTGCTATTTGCTATTGTGTCCCCAGACCTTTCAGAGCTATGATTTTAAGCGACAGGGTTGAAAGAATATATCTTGGTAGTTGTTATCACTTAAAAAAAAACAAATTAACCTTTCTCTGTTGTTAGCTTCAGCTCCTTTCTGCATCTGGTGGTCATATGAGACATATGATTGTTTGGGGACCATTCATAATTATATTACATACGCAATGAATGGTAGAGGGGTTGGTGTTGACTAAGGAGCGTACGTGTGTGTATGGGAGAGTGCAAGGTATAGGTGTCAAAATATTTAAAAGGCTATAAAATAAAACTGCCATACAATTAGTAGCCATTTGCTTTAAGTTTGCTTCAGTGTTGTGTGACATCATTTTGTGACATCATTACTTTGTTCTTTACTCAACTGCAATTGTGAAAATGGAAAAAACTTCTGATTTTTTTTCATTTTTTAAATGCATTCTCCACCATTCCACACAGCAGCATTAGATTTAATACTTTTATAAGATCTGGTAGGCGACATTTGAAATCTATTTCTAGAAGTTACTAAGCAGCTGTATCCATTTAATACCCCTGTTTTCTTCCAACACTTCTCTTCCCTTCTCCCAAAACAGCTTGTGGTAATGCAGGTGTGGCCTACCCACTGCCCACCATGTTAAATATCGTGGCCCGGTGGATGTGTTCAAATTAACTTATTTCTTCATTCAATTTCAATTAGTGATTATTTTCATTCATGACATAAAAAAATGATCTGAAATATATATGTGGCAATGTGCCACTTTTTGTAACTGCAGTTATGTAACATTTTTATATGTGGCTGGGTGCCACAGTGACAGGGTGCCGCCTATGGGGCAAAGAAGCACGCTCCTGTGGCACGATTTGTCACCCCAGGCGTGTTCACATTCACTGATATGGGTGCTCCTGTCCCATGGGGGACTGGTGAACAGCTCATGACGTGGACATCATTGTGACTACATAAGGCAGGTGGGATTTAAACCCAGGACTTGTGTTTTTCTGAGCTGTGATCGAGTAGTCAGCTGTGTCCGATACTGACTGTGCACTTTGATATTGTATGTGAAACCGATACTTCGAGTCAGCTGCGTGTGTGAGAGATTTGACTGTCTGTTCAACAGCTTGTACCTCAAGAATAAAAGCTCTAGTTCCAGACTTGCATTTCATTGTTTGTGTCTTTAAACTGTACTAGCACAAGGCTACATATAAACATCATTTTTCTTTATGGTACATGCCATTGCGGTGTACCCACCATTGCGTTGTACCGGCCCTTCATTTTGGTGTACCCACCATTGCGGTGTACCGGCCCTTTAATTGGACTGATTAAAATAAAAAATGATTGAAATAAGTAATTTTAAATATACATTTTTTAAAATATTTAGTAGCTACAAAAATAAAACTGATTTATATCAACACAGCCAGCTAGAGGGAACCGAACCAAGTTTTCCACAAGATTTACGATTAAGTGTCAAATGACACTAAACTATTAAGTTTTACGCAAAACCGCAACCCTGCATTCTGAAGTGATAAAAAAATTCTGGGGAAGAGCAGAGCTCGGGTGACTTTGGCGGTCATCTTGGATTTACACATTCCCACGTCATCATTGAATATCAAAGTGGCAAAGACTTGGTTAGGTGACTTTTCTTAGACATACGATGCTGATATTTTTGTATTTATTTATTTATTTAGGCATTTTTATATAGCGCTTACCTTAAAGCTCTAAGCACTTTACAATTATTAAAAACATGTGAACTAACTAAAATAAAAATGAGACATTAGGATAGTAACTACTATACTAAAGAAACAATTAAAATGGCTATAAAACGAGGACACTTTGGCACGTTTTGGCCTATATTACAGGATTAACCCGAGACAGAAAATGAGGAAGGGCAAGAAAAGAGTATCACAGGTCATAGGCGGACCTAAACAGATGGGTTTTAAGGGACATTTTAATTATAATGTTTGTTTATTTCTGTACTATTAAGATACGGTATTGTTAGATTTTTAGATGTTAAAGAACTATTCTGAAATGTTATCATTCTATTTTGTGAGTTGCACGGTCACCAGGCCTGCAAGTGTTGGGCAAGTGGCTTGCCAAGTAGGGTTTTATATGTCAAAGTTGTCTATTAAACAGAATCATTGAAATATCTTATTATTTACCGAGCATTCACCCGACCAGAACTAGGATATGAAATATGACTTAATAGTATAGGGGAGATAATACATTATTTAATTTCAATTGGGAAGGTTTAAAAGGTAAAGGTTTTCCCCCTTTGGTCTGACACAAGATTTAAGTGTACAACACAAAACATTTGACATTTGTGTAATACCTTGGTCATGCCTGTAATAACCTGGTAATATGTGTTATACATTTATCATGTGTAAAACTTTGCATATGTAATATATTTGTCATATGTTATACAGCTATCAAATTTGCTTGTTATAACACAATATGTCAATTTATAAATATGTTTATTTGTGGTATGTTTTCCTATAAAGTTTAAAAACATATAACCCTAACTCTAACACTTACCCTCACCATAACCACATTTCAAAACAAAGAACCTGTCATTAAAAATCCAATTTTTTAGAATAACATCTGCTTCCATTTCAGCATCTGATGACGGAGAGACCTACCACATTAATTATGTTCTTAATAACATCTGCTTCCTTTTCAGCATCTGATGACAGAGAGACCTACCACATTAATTATGTTCTTAATAACATCTGCTTCCTTTTCAGCATCTGATGACGGAGAGACCTACCACATTAATTATGTTCTTAATAACATCTGCTTCCTTTTCAGCATCTGATGACAGAGAGACCTACCACATTATGTTCTTAATAACATCTGCTTCCATTTCAGCATCTGATGACAGAGAGACCTACCACATTATGTTCTTAATAACATCTGCTTCCATTTCAGCATCTGATGACGGAGAGACCTACCACATTATGTTCTTAATAACATCTGCTTCCTTTTCAGCATCTGATGACAGAGAGACCTACCACATTAATTATGTTCTTAATAACATCTGCTTCCATTTCAGCATCTGATGACAGAGAGACCTACCACATTAATTATGTTCTTAATAACATCTGCTTCCTTTTCAGCATCTGATGACAGAGAGACCTACCACATTAATTATGTTCTTAATAACATCTGCTTCCTTTTCAGCATCTGATGACGGAGAGACCTATCACATTGTGTTCTTAATAACATCTGCTTCCATTTCAGCATCTGATGATGGAGAGACCTACCACATTAATTATGTTCTTAATAACATCTGCTTCCTTTTCAGCATCTGATGACGGAGAGACCTACCACATTATGTTCTTAATAACATCTGCTTCCATTTCAGCATCTGATGACGGAGAGACCTACCACATTATGTTCTTAATAACATCTGCTTCCATTTCAGCATCTGATGACGGAGTGACCTACTACATTATGTTCTTAATAACATCTGCTTCCGTTTCAGCATCTAATGACGGAGAGACCTACCACATTATGTTCTAATAACATCTGCTTCCATTTCAGCATCTGATGATGGAGAGACCTACTACATTATGTTCTTAATAACATCTGCTTCCATTTCAGCATCTGATGATGGAGAGACCTACTACATTATGTTCTTAATAACATCTGCTTCCATTTCAGCATCTGATGATGGAGAGACCTACTACATTATGTTCTTAATAACATCTGCTTCCATTTCAGCATCTGATGATGGAGAGACCTACTACATTATGTTCTTAATAACATCTGCTTCCATTTCAGCATCTGATGATGGAGAGACCTACTACATTATGTTCTTAATAACATCTGCTTCCATTTCAGCATCTGATGACGGAGAGACCTACCACATTATGTTCTTAATAACATCTGCTTCCATTTCAGCATCTGATGATGGAGAGACCTACTACATTATGTTCTTCACACATGACAAACCCTTTGAGGAGTTTTTCTGCATCTGCATCCAACTGTTGAATAAAACCTGGAGGGAGATGAAGGCGACGTCCGATGACTTTCAAAAAGTAGGATACTATTACCTCCTTTTCTAAATGACAATTATGTGAAAACAATATGTGGTCAACACCTCACCACCAACCCCCACTCATGGGTAAACCATATGTGGTCAACACCTCACCACCAACCCCCACTCATGGGTAAACCATATGCGGTCAACACCTCACGACCAACCCCCACTCATGGATAAACAATATATGGTCAACCCATCACAACTAACCCCCACTCTTGTGTAAACAATATGTCAACCCTTCACCACTAATCCCCACTACATAGTGAGGCATAAGAAAATAGATGAACCTTGATTTATATGGTGTACATTTTGAAAAGAAAAAATACATATATTGCATATTTTTTTGGCTACATCCATTCAATTTTACTTGTTTGGTATAAACTGGGGTCACATGTGTGGGTTCAAAGCTGTAAACATTTCTGGCATACCAGTCATACTGTCAATGTCAAAGCAGACCACTCATACACCTTGTCACTGTCAAAGCAGACCACTCATACTGTCAATGACAAAGCAGACCACTCATACTGTCAATGACAAAGCAGACCACTCATACTGTCAATGACAAAGCAGACCACTCATACTGTCAATGACAAAGCAGACCACTCATACAGTCAATGACAAAGCAGACCACTCATACATCTTGACTATGTCAAAGCAGACCACTCTCGCCTAGTTTCGCATACACCTATTTAATGTCAGTCTTATTACCACTACTTTCTGATGTAAGTCTTAGTAAAAAAAAATGAGTGCAGAAATTATTGAATATGTACTGTAGAATGGATAGTGTACAGATATTAGAATCGATAGTGCATAGACAGTCGAATGGAGAATATAAAGACATTAGATTTGATAGAATATAGACTTTTGACTTGATAGAATATAGACAGGATCATTGATATTAAAAAGACATTAGAATTTGTAGTATATATACAGTAGAATGGATGGAATATAGACAGTAGAATGGATGGAATATAGACAGTAGAATGGATGGAATATAGACAGTAGAATGGATGGAATATAGACAGTAGAATGGATGGAATATAGACAGTAGAATGGATGGAATATAGACAGTAGAATGGATGGAATATAGACAGTAGAATGGATGGAATATAGACAGTAGAATGGATGGAATATAGACAGTAGAATGGATGGAATATAGACAGTAGAATGGATGGAATATAGACAGTAGAATGGATGGAATATAGACAGTAGAATGGATGGAATATAGACAGTAGAATGGATGGAATATAGACAGTAGAATGGATGGAATATAGACAGTAGAATGGATGGAATATAGACAGCAGATGGATGGTATATAGACAGCAGTATGGATGGTATATAGACAGCAGTATGGATGGTATATAGACAGCAGTATGGATGGTATATAGACAGCAGTATGGATGGTACATAGACAGCAGTATGGATGGTATATAGACAGCAGTATGGATGGTATATAGACAGCAGTATGGATGGTATATAGACAGCAGTATGGATGGTATATAGACAGCAGAATGGATGGTATATAGACAGCAGAATGGATGGTATATAGACAGCAGAATGGATGGTATATAGACAGCAGTATTTCACCAACAACTTTAGAAAAACAAAAGAAATATTAGGCACCAAACGCACTTGTGATTTTTATTTTTATACAAATTTTGGGGGGGGGGGGGGGGGTTTTGGTGTGTGTAATTTTTCATCATGTTCCCCAGGAAAAACATATTTTTTATGGGTGGGGGCCGAAAATTTAAAAGAATGTGTTGTCATCTGCAACGAGCCCATGTGCCAAGTTTCAGCTCAATAGGTTGATGGGAAGTGGATCAATTAGCCATCCTAAGATTTTGCCAGCCAGCCACCCATAACCAAAAGCAAAGTTAAGATAAAGGCTTGAAATAGGACAAGCAGGCTTGAGAGACTTTGCTATACAGAGTTGCATCTATAGGCCCTTCCTTTTTTAAAAAACGCACTTTGGCCATGTTTGTCTCACAAAATACTTTAAAAAAACTTTAACTCCAATTTTTAAAACGGTTTTAACATTATAACCAACGTCCAAATCTATACAAACATAATAAAATCAGAATTAGACTAGTCAGTGTATTAGATTGAAACCGTCGAGGAGGGTCACATTATAGATATGAGAATGGGGAAAACATGCCGGCTGCATTAACACTAAACTTTGCTGTCATGTAGAGGACTGCAAAATATTGCAAATGGCCTGCGGGCCAAGAGTTTGAGACCCCTGGTCAAAACCAATAGTCTCGGTAAGCATTGGTACTGAGCCATGGGGATAGGGGGTGATAACTAATTGGTACTGAGCCATGGGGATTGGGGGTGATAACTAATTGGTACTGAGCCATGGGGATTGGGGGTGATAACTAATTGGTACTGAGCCATGGGGATTGGTGGTGATAACTAATTGGTACTGAGCCATGGGGATTGGGGGTGATAACTAATTGGTACTGAGCCATGGGGATTGGTGGTGATAACTAATTGGTACTGAGCCATGGGGATTGGGGGTGATAACTAATTGGTACTGAGCCATGGGGATTGGGGGTGATAACTAATTGGTACTGAGCCATGGGGATTGGTGGTGATAACTAATTGGTACTGAGCCATGGGGATTGGGGGTGATAACTAATTGGTACTGAGCCATGGGGATTGGTGGTGATAACTAATTGGTACTGAGCCATGGGGATTGGTGGTGATAACTAATTGGTGCTGAGCCATGGGGATTGGTGGTGATAACTAATTGGTACTGAGCCATGGGGATTGGGGGTGATAACTAATTGGTACTGAGCCATGGGCATTGGTGGTGATAACTAATTGGTACTGAGCCATGGGGATGGGGGGTGATAACTAATTGGTACTGAGCCATGGGGATTGGTGGTGATAACTAATTGGTACTGAGCCATGGGGATTGGTGGTGATAACTAATTGGTACTGAGCCATGGGGATTGGGGGTGATAACTAATTGGTACTGAGCCATGGGGATTGGTGGTGATAACTAATTGGTACTGAGCCATGGGGATTGGGGGTGATAACTAATTGGTACTGAGCCATGGGGATTGGNGACACAATTCATCACTCTATCTCTGCAACCCATGGCTGTAGTTTGTCCTATGACAGACACAATTCATCACTCTATCTCTGCAACCCATGGCTGTAGTTTGTCCTATGACAGACACAATTCATCACTCTATCTCTGCAACCCATGGCTGTAGTTTGTCCTATGACAGACACAATTCATCACTCTATCTCTGCAACCCATGGCTGTAGTTTGTCCTATGACAGACACAATTCATCACTCTATCTCTGCAACCCATGGCTGTAGTTTGTCCTATGACAGACACAATTCATCACTCTATCTCTGCAACCCATGGCTGTAGTTTGTCCTATGACAGACACAATTCATCACTCTATCTCTGCAACCCATGGCTGTAGTTTGTCCTATGACAGACACAATTCATCACTCTATCTCTGCAACCCATGGCTGTAGTTTGTCCTATGACAGACACAATTCATCACTCTATCTCTGCAACCCATGGCTGTAGTTTGTCCTATGACAGACACAATTCATCACTCTATCTCTGCAACCCATGGCTGTAGTTTGTCCTATGACAGACACAATTCATCACTCTATCTCTGCAACCCATGGCTGTAGTTTGTCCTATGACAGACACAATTCATCACTCTATCTCTGCAACCCATGGCTGTAGTTAGTCCTATGACAAACACAATTCATCACTCTATCTCTGCAACCCATGGCTGTATTTTGTCCCATGACAGACACAATTCATCACTCTATCTCTGCAACCCATGGCAGTAGTTTGTCCTATGACCCTAAGGGAGACAATTAATTTATTATTAATATAAATAAGTGGTCCTTAAAATGGCTTAGGCTGAACACTAAGTCTTTTATGGCCAGATGAAGGGTTGATACCAACAAAAGTATAAAGTTTTACAGGGAAAAATAGAATGTCGGCGTGGAGTTGACCAATGTTAAGTTTTACATTGTGGGAGCATATTTATACCACGTGGTCATACGGAGTTGTCCATGTGGTCATAGGGAGTTGTCTATGTCATAGGGAGTTGTCTATGTCATAGGGAGTTGTCCATGTCATAGGGAGTTGTCTATGTCATAGGGAGTTGTCTATGTCATAGGGAGTTGTCTATGTCATAGGGAGTTGTCTATGGGGTCATAGGGAGTTGTCTATGTCATAGGGAGTTGTTTATGTCATAGGAAGTTGTCTATGTGGTCATAGGGAGTTGTCTATGTGGTCATAGGGAGTTGTCCATGTCATAGGGAGTTGTCTATGTCATAGGAAGTTGTCTATGTGGTCATAGGGAGTTGTCTATGTGGTCATAGGGAGTTGTCCATATGGTCATAGGGAGTTGTCTATATGGTCATAGGGAGTTGTCCATATGGTCATAGGGAGTTGTCTATATGGTCATAGGGAGTTGTGTATGTGGTCATAGGGAGGTGTCCATGTGGTCATAGGGAGTTGTCTATGTGGTCATAGGGAGTTGTCGATGTGGTCATAGGGAGTTGTCTATGTGGTCATAGGGAGTTGTCCATATGGTCATAGGGAGTTGTCTATATGGTCATAGGAAGTTGTCTATGTGGTCATAGGGAGTTGTCCATGTGGTCATAGGGAGTTGTCCATGTGGTCATAGGGAGTTGTCCATGTGGTCATAGGGAGTTGTCCATGTGGTCATAGGGAGTTGTCCATGTGTTCATAGGGAGTTGTCCATGTGGTCATAGGGAGTTGTCCATGTGGTCATAGGAAGGGTTACATGTGGTCGTAAGGGCGACAGGGAGTAGAGCGGACAGTGTGGTGATATGGCGCTTATGTGGCTATAGGGATTTGACACCATGTGATGAGAATGAGACCATGTGATGAGAATGAGACCATGTGATGAGAATGAGACCATGTGATGAGAATGAGACCATGTGATGAGAATGAGACCATGTGATGAGAATGAGACCATGTGATGAGGTTAAGACTATATTATAAGTACAAGGTCATGTAATGAGAAGGTGACTAATGAGATGTGATTGAGACCATGTAATGAGAATGAGACCCGGTAATGAGAATAAAACCATGTGTTGAGAGTGTGTTTGAGACCATGTGATGAGAGTGTGCTTGAGACCATGTGATAAGAGTGTGCTTGAAACCATATGATGAGGGTGTGCTTGAGACCATGTGATGAGGGTGTGCTTGAGACCATGTGATGAGGGTGTGCTTGATATCATGTGATGAGGATGTGCTTGAGACCATGTGATGAGGGTGTGCTTGATATCATGTGATGAGGATGTGCTTGAGACCATGTGATGAGGGTGTGCTTGATATCATGTGATGAGGGTGTGCTTGAGACCTTGTGATGAGGGTGTGCTTGAGACCTTGTGATGAGGGTGTGCTTGAGACCTTGTGATGAGGGTGTGCTTGAGACCTTGTGATGAGGGTGTGCTTGAGACCTTGTGATGAGAGTGTGCTTGAGACCTTGTAATGAGGATGTGCTTGAGACCTTGTGATATGGATGTGCTTGTGATCTTGTGATGAGAGTGTACTCAAAATGCGTTAATTGATTCCAGCCAGTTTAGCTCTGCCCTAATTATCTAGCCTGCCCAACGTAGTGTGTGTGTGTGCACACACGCGTCACACCATTGATAAGATGAACCCCGAGCAACATGTAAGTCTGGTTGATTTCATTGGTTACACATACTGTCTTACTTACTATCTATCCACACTGTGCTTTGTACAACTGCTGATACATACTGCCTAACTTACTCTGTGCAATGTTTGTTTTACTATACAAAATACTGTCTAACTGTATCTCCTTTAAAATTAAAGATTCATTTACTTAGTCCAATCAGATATTCAGTTATTTTAAAACACTCAAAAGTTTTTATACGTCAATGAAAGAATTGATGGCGAGAGTACGTGATGAGTACTTCAATTACTGTACTCTGTATATTTCATTCCAAGTTGTACTTTGTATAGTTCATTCCAAGTTGTACTTTGTATAGTTTATTTCAAGTTGTACTTTGTGTAGTTTATTCCAAGTTCTACCTTGCATAGTTCATTCCAAGTTGTATTTGGTATAGTTCATTCCAAGTTGTACTTTCTATAGTTCATTTCAAGTTGTACTTTGTGTAGTTTATTCCAAGTTGTACCTTGTATAGTTCATTCCAAGTTGTACTTTGTATAGCACATTCCAAGTTGTACTTTGTATAGTTCATTCCAAGTTGTACTTTGTATAACCGTATAGTTCATTCCAAGTTGTACTTTGTATAACCAACCGTATAGTTCATTCCAAGTTGTACTTTGTATAACCGTATAGTTCATTCCAAGTTGTACTTTGTATAACCATATAGTTTATTCCAAGTTGCACTTTATATAAACCATTCCAAGTTGTACTTTGTATAACTCATTCCAAGTTGTATTTTGTATAGTTCATTCCAAGCTGTACTTTGTGTAGTTCATTCCAAGATCTACATTGTATAGTTCATTCCAAGTTTTATTTGATATAGTTCATTCCAAGTCGTACTTTCTATAGTTCATTTCAAGTTGTACTTTGTGTAGTTCATTCCAAGTTGTACTTTGCATAACCGTATAGTTCATTCCAAGTTGAACTTTTCATCTTCATTCCAAGTTGTATTTTGTATAGTTCATTTCAAGCTGTACTTTCTATAGTTCATTCCAAGTTGTGCTTTGTCTAGTTAATTCCTAGTTGTACTTTCTATAGTTCATTCTAAGATGTGCTTTGTCTAGTTAATTCCAAATTGTCTTTTGTATAGTTCATTTCAAGCTGTACTTTCTTTAGTTCATTCCAAATTGTACTTTGTGTAGCTCATTCCAAGTTGTACTTTGCATCGTTCATTCCAAATTGTACTTTGTGTAGTTCATTCCAAGTTGTACTTTGTATAACCCATTCCAAGTTGTATTTTGTATAGTTCATTCCAAGCTGTACTTTGTATAACTCATTCCAATTTGTACTTTGTATAGTTCATTCCAAGTTGTACTTTGTGTAGTTCATTCCAAGCTATACTATGTGTAGTTCATTCCAAGTTGTACTTTGTATAACCCATTCCAAGTTGTACTTTGTATAGTTCATTCCAAGCTATACTTTGTGTAGTTCATTCCAAGTTGTACTTTGTGTAGTTCATTCCAAGCTATACTTTGTGTAGTTCATTCCAAGTTGTACTTTGTATAACCCATTCCAAGTTGTATTTTGTATAGTTCATTCCAAGCTGTACTTTGTATAACTCATTCCAAGTTGTACTTTGTATAGTTCATTCCAAGCTATACTTTGTGTAGTTCATTCCAAGTTGTACTTTGTATAACCCATTCCAAGTTGTATTTTGTATAGTTCATTCCAAGCTGTACTTTGTATAACTCATTCCAAGTTGTACTTTGTATAGTTCATTCCAAGTTGTACTTTGTGTTGTTCATTCCAAGTTGTACTTTGTATAGTTCATTCCAAGTTGTACTTTGTATAGTTCATTCCAAATTGTACTTTGTATAGTTCATTCCAAGTTGTACTTTGTGTAGTTCATTCCCAGTTGTACTTTGTGTAGTTCATTCCCAGTTGTACTTTGTGTAGTTTATTCCAAGTTGTACTTTGTATAACTCATTCCAAATTGTACTTTGTATAACTCATTCCAAGTTGTACTTTGTATAACTATTACAGCAAGGTGGTACTTGATTAAAAAAATTCTTCTTTTGTGTATGTGTGTGTGTTATCTGACTGTGAAATGGATATTTGTACAACTCAGAAAAAGTGATATTTTTATCCATAAATAAGTAAAAGTGATATTTTATCTATTAATAAGCAAAAGTGATACTTTCATCTATAAATCAGCAGAAGTGAGTCTTGATTTCAATACAACCCTGATATTTTGTATAAATCAATGAGTCTGATATACTAGAATAAATGACCCAATGTTATCGAGATATTAAAATGTAATGATATTTACATTTCTAACATCAAGTTTTGAGAAGTATTTATCTGCTATATATTTTACGCCTACCCTACTCCCTTTTACACCCTGTAACAGACCATGTTTTCACAAGCTACCAGAGAGGTAGCATGAGTGAACAGTGAACTGTGTTGATTATATTTTCCACGAGGAGAGAGAGTGAATTGTATTTTTGAGAAGCAAATGTGAGCTCCACGTTTTTGGAGAGTAAATTATGTTTTTTTGTAAAGCGGTCGTTTCCACGCTTTGCTGAGTAATAAAAGGGGCAGTTGATTGAATAGTGTAGCTGAGTGAGGACATGTTTTTCTGAGAGGTGGAATATTATATATATGTGAAATGATTACATTCATGCAAGGATTATTATTAATATTATCAGTGTAAAGTGTGACATAATAAAGAACTGTAAGTTTAATCAGAATTCAGTATCCTTCTTTGTGTGCCTGGATAAGTGACTGGATAAGTAAGTGGAAGAATGGAAGAAGTCTTAGCCGGCATCCTGAATCATTAATATAAAATCAAGTGACCATGCTACTGACATAACGTCCTATGAAATAGCATGTCAGAGCATGTGTTACACACCCCTAAACTAATTTTTTTGGCTATAGCCATGACCTTAAATAACGCAATGTAAATGATCACTAATTATATCACTTTTGTCACTAAAGAAGTTAATTAAGGGATGATTTCTACGCTAGAGAAATACTTTCGATTCACCCCTTTTTGTGCCCTTGAATTACAACTTTTTTCTCTCCAAAAATTGTTAAAAAACATAATCTTCAATTTACACAAAAACTCTATTTATGATATAAATATATTTTATATTAAAGCAATTTGATACATTAATATCTTCATCAAAAATTTAAACGCACTTTTGCATTTTTTTTTTTAATTATACATTATCAGAAAATCCTTTAAAAAAAGAATTCTTTTATCTGAAGAGGAATCTCAGAACAGTTTTTCATGTCTTCAACAGACTTGAGTGTCTTTTAAAAAAATAATTAATCTTATAAAATAAACCCAAAGTAATAACAAAATTTTATTTTCATTTTAAAAAAAAAATATTAACCATTCTCCATTTTTCAAATTTAAATTTTCAAGTATGTAAAATGATTGAGTTTTGATATTCATGGTAATACTTATGTAAATGTACCCACGTTTTGTTAACGCCATTGATTTTCATAATTGGTAAACATATGTTTATTTTTAAAAAGAGAATGTAAGATCTCTTTTTTCACAAATGTAACACCAAACGATTTAAATATATTGTCATCTACGTAAAAATGTACACAACCTATTTCCTACCCCCGACATATATGTACGCAAGAATGTTAGTTATTTATCGAATTCATTCCTTTATTTTGAGATATATCTTGATCTGCCTGGGGAAAAATGACCCCCCCCCCTACACACACACACACACCCACCCCCCACCCCGATTTTAAAAAAATTAATAAAATCTTCCACCGGCTTGTAGTCCCTTCCATTCCCAAACTAACATATTTTGCTCTTCATATGGTTTGTTCTGTACTTAATACATCAGCATATCATTTATGTCATGCAAAAATCTGTATGCCATTTATTGTACATGCCTGGGATCATTAATGAATTACATTGACATTTGCTGTTGTCCGTTTTTAAGTAACATAACTCTTGACTGTTATTGATTGTGTCCCTTAATTATTTTTTTTAAAAAAAGAAAGAAAAAACACTAACATCTGTGGTAGCTGTAGCTGTGATGTCAAAATAAGCACATCTTTTGGCTGTATCTGAGATGTCAAAGCTAACATGTGTAGAATTTAGCTCAGATGTCAAACCTAACACATGTGTAGGCTGTAGCTGAGATTTCAAACCTAACACATGTGTAGGCTGTAACTGACATGTCAAACCTAACACATGTGTAGGCTGTAGCTGAGATTTCAAACCTAACACATGTGTAGGCTGTAACTGACATGTCAAACCTAACACATGTGTAGGCTGTAACTGACATGTCAAACCTAACACATGTGTAGGCTGTAACTGACATGTCAAACCTAACACATGTGTAGGCTGTAACTGACATGTCAAACCTAACACATGTGTATGCTGTAACTGACATGTCAAACCTAACACATGTGTAGAATTTAGCTCAGATGTCAAACCTAACACATGTGTAGGCTGTAACTGACATGTCAAACCTAACACATGTATAGGCTGTAACTAACATGTCAAACCTAACACATGTGTAGGCTGTAACTGACATGTCAAACCTAACACATGTGTAGGCTGTAACTAACATGTCAAACCTAACACATGTGTAGGCTGTAACTAACATGTCAAACCTAACACATGTGTAGGCTGTAACTGACATGTCAAACCTAACACATGTGTAGGCTGTAACTGACATGTCAAACCTAACACATGTGTAGGCTGTAACTGACATGGCAAGCTAACATGTGTAGGCTGTAACTGACATGGCAAGCTAACATGTGTAGGCTGTAACTGACATGTCAAACCTAACACATGTGTAGGCTGTAGCTGAGATTTCAAACCTAACACATGTGTAGGCTGTAACTGACATGTCAAACCTAACACATGTGTAGGCTGTAGCTGAGATTTCAAACCTAACACATGTGTAGGCTGTAACTGACATGTCAAACCTAACACATGTGTATGCTGTAACTGACATGTCAAACCGAACACATGTTTAGGCTGTAGCTGACATGTTAATATTAACACATGATGTTTAAAGTACATGACAGTAACAGGACTTTAGATACCCACCACTTCCTACAAACACATCAATACCAGCACCAGCACAAACTCAATCAGCTGTCATTGAGACCATAAAAATACCATTATCACTTGCCACAAACACACAGACATACAAGTTCTTGTTTGTTAAAAACATGCAAGATTCTCAAAATTGCTTTTAAATACCCCTTTGTGTTTGGGGTATAGCCAGTAAGTCAATCTGCCCTAGTAAAATGAGTTTATTTAAAGCAGTGGTTCCCACATTGTCTTCAATCACCATGGGAGACCACAAACCTCTGAGTTACAACTATGACTTTTATATGGTTTTTAATTTTTATCATTTGACTTTTACATTATTTGGTTTCTCATACGTTTGTGTTGCTCTGTCATCATTAAAACTAGGGGTCTCAAACTCGTGGCCCGTGGGCCAAGATCATATAGATAACAAAGTTTAGTGTTAATGCGACCCGCACATTTTCCCCATTCTCATATCTATAATGTGACACTCAGCTCCGGTTTCAGTCAAATCTAACCGGCTGGTCTAATTATGATTTTATAGGTTTTATAGATATTTCCCGCTCCTGTCTTCTGTTTTCATAATGTAGAAAATTGTAGAGAAATGTGTCAATATTTGAGCCTCCATCTAATGAGGTGTACTAGTTTGTCTGTTCTGAGTATGGACTTCTGCTGGTTACAACTTGGATGGACATGGTTAGAGAGGGAAGAGCTGAAATGGACTTCTGCTGGTTACAACTTGGATGGACATGGTTAGAGAGGGAAGAGCTGAAATGGACTTCTGCTGGTTACAACTTGGATGGACATGGTTAGAGAGGGAAGAGCTGAAATGGACCTCTGCTGGTTACAACTTGGATGGACATGGTTAGAGAGGGAAGAGCTGAAATGGACTTCTGCTGGTTACAACTTGGATGGACATTGTTAGAGAGGGAAGAGCTGAAATGGACTTCTGCTGGTTACAACTTGGATGGACATTGTTAGAGAGGGAAGAGCTGAAATAAATACATCTTGCAGGATCATTCATTCTGTTGACAAAGAAATGGTCATTTGAAAATGTTTCATTGCATGTTGATGATTAGCAGTGATGTTGTTGTAAAAGTTACTTTGAGAGTATATCTGTGACATTTTAATGTTTGGCTTTGATCCTGTTGAAAATGTTAATATTGAGAATCCCTGTTTACATTTTATTATCTAGCAGGGATGAAAATGTTAATATTGAGAATCCCTGCTTACATATTATTGTCTTGCAGTGATGAAAATGTTAATATTGAGAATCCCTGCTTACGTATTATTGTCTTGCAGTGATGAAAATGTTAATATTGAGAATCCCTGCTTACATGTTATTGTCTTGCAGTGATGAAAATGTTAATATTGAGAATCCCTGCTTACATGTTATTGTCTTGCAGTGATGAAAATGTTAATAGCATCATAGAAAATGTTGAAAAAGTAACCACTGATTTAAGGCGTCCATATCCTATGACATTTTAGTGAATCATTTTCTTGCAATGGAAGTTCTTTTTGACATTTAACCTACAGTCAAAGTTCATTGGAGGTCACATGGCACATGAAGTATTAACCCTTTAAGCTAATCAAGCAGTCTTCAAATATGTGTTGCAATACACCAGTGTGTTATGTGTACACCAGTGTGTCATGTATACACCAGTGTGTTATGTATACACCATTGTGTCATTTGTACTCCATTGTGTCATTTATACACCATTGTGTTATTTGTACACCAGTTTGACATGTGTACACCAGTGGGTTATGTGTACACCAGTGTCATGTGTAACCAGTGTGGCATGTACACACCAGTGTGGCATGTATACACCAGTATGGCATGCATACAACACTGTCTCTTGTATACACCAGTGTGGCATGTATACACCAGTATGGCATGTATACAACACTGTCTCTTGTATACACCAGTGTGGCATGTATACACCAGTGTGTCATGCATACACCAGCATATATACACCAGTGTTGCATGTATACACCAGTGTGTCATGCATACACCAGCATGTCATGCATACACAAGTGTGGCAGGTATACACCAGTGTGGTATGTATACAACAGTGTCTCATGTATACACCAGTGTGTTATATGTACACCAGTGTCACTTGTATACCAGTGTCATATGTACACCAGTCAGTCATGTGTACACCAGTGTGGCATGTATACACCAGTGTGGCATGTATACACCAGCATGTCATGTGTACAACAGTGTCATTTGTACACCAGCATGTCATGTGAACACCAGTGTGTCATTTATGTTGACTCATTGATGTGCTTTATAATTTTGTTTCATCTCTTGCAGGTTCTGGACGTGGTCAGAGAGCAAATTGTCCGAGTTCTTGACACATCCCCAACATCATTTGAGGCATTTCGCAGCAAAATCAACACCTTGACCTATGCACAGATCAACAGACTTTGGGAAACGGAACGACTGGTTAAGGAAGGCCAAGGGGCCCAGCTCAAGCCTATCATGTATGTTATGAATATATGTGTATCAAATGTAGGATATCATGTAAGATAGGAAGATAGTAATGTTGAATGTCTGGTCAAGAAAGTCCATGGGGCCCAGCTCAAGCCTGTCATGTATGACATGTAGGATATGGTGTAAGATAATTAAGTTGAATGACTGGTCAAAGAAGTCCAAGGGTCCAGCTCAAGCCTGTTATGTATATGTACCATATCATGTAAGATAGGAAGATAGTTGAGTTAAATGACTAGTAGGAAAGCCAAGGGGCCTAGGTCAAAACTATCATGTATGATATGAATACAGTATGTATAGAGGGTAAACATGTGCTTATCTTTGTATAAGCATTAATCAGGTAGTAGAAGAGAATGTGCTGTAAGTATTTATTTGACAGCTATCACTGCCTAATCAGAATATATTGACCATGCTAAATTTATATATCTATCTTAATGTGTATTTGACAGTGAGCTGATGTATTTTTTAATGTGTATTTAACAGTGAGCTGATGTAATTGTTGATGTGTATTTAACAGTGAGCTGATGTATTTGTTAATGTGTATTTAACAGTGAGCTGGTGTATTTGTTATTGTGTATTTAACAGTGCGCTGACGTATTTGAAAGTGAGCTGATGTATTGGTTATTGTTTATTTGACAGTGAGCTGAGAGAACAAATCAAACCAGAGATGATGGACCTCATCAAACAGCAGAGACTCAAATATCTGACATCAGGCTCAAGGTTTGCCAAGTATACAAAGACTGGCAGGATCAAAGGTCAGTTGATAGATGTGTCGGCAGTTAATGGTCAGTTGTTAGATGTGGCGGCAGTTAATGTTCTGCTGTTAGATGTGTGGGTAGTAAATTGTCAGTTGTTGAATGTGTTAATGGTCAGTTGTTAGATGTGTGGGTACTAAATGGTCAGTTTTTCAATGTGTCAGCAGTTAATGGTCAGTTGTTGAATGTGTCAGCAGTTAATAGTCAGTTTTTCAATGTGTCAGCAGTTAATGGTTAGTTGTTGAATGTGTCAGCAGTTAATGGTCAGTTGTTAGATGTGTGGGCAGTTAATGGTCAGTTGTCAGATGTATGATCAATTGATCTCAGATGTACATTAAAATTTCCAGATAAATTCTGGTGCTGGAGGTTGGCACCAAACTACAAGGCTCTTCACTATGGAGATTGTGGAGAGTCGGAGAACTTGTCACTTGACGACTTACCCAATAAATGTAAGTGTGTTGTGGGGAGTCAGAGAACTTGTCACTAGATGACTTATCCAATAAATGTAAGTATGTAATGGGATGACTACCAAATAAATGTAAGCATGTAATGGGAGTCTGAGATCTTGTCACTTGATGACTTACCCAATAAATGTAAGTATGTAATGGGGGTCTTAGATTTTATCACTAGATGTGTTAGGGGTTGTATGTAAGGACATACATAAAAAATAATCATCTTTTCCACCTCTGTTATTCTGTTTTGTAACACTAGATAGAAGTACTATATGGGATTTTAATAATGAAATACAAGTTCCATATATATGTTATGTTAATAATGAAATAGAAGTACCATATAAATTGTCTTTGAACGCTCTGTACTTCAGTGCCCCTATCAGACATAAGAAAACTCCTGGTGGGGAAAGATTGTCCACATATCAATACGGTCAAGAACAGAAGTAAGGTAAGATAGTTGATTTTTTTCAGTTAGCTCTGTACCTGTATGGACATTTAAAACTAGTTGTTTGTGATTCAGTCAGAAGATGTCATGATGTTGTGTTATCCTTTCTGTTAGCTCTGTACCTGTATGGACATTTAAATCTAGCTGTTTGTGATTTAGTCAGAAGATGTCATGATGTTTTGTTATCCTTTTAGCTGCCGAGTTCTAACACTGCCTTCTCCATACAATGTGACCTGGACACTGACCCCATTTGCTTCATGGCCAGCTCTGAGAACGAGTTTGACATGTGGACAGATGGACTCAACAGTTTATTAGGGAATGAGGTAAACAAGTAGTGATCTCTGCTAACATCTAGGGCCCAGGTTCCCAAACAGTAGTCACACCCAGAGTGAGATGCAGAGGGCTCTCTGTGAGGTTGTCGACTTAACAGACTTGAAGAGTCATCTTAAACAAAAAAATTAAATCAAATTTTTCTTTAAAAAGATGTCTTTATACTTGTATGATACTGCATCCACTTTTGATGTGTTTTCTCTAAAGTCATGTGTTTGCTCGTACAGTCATCTGTTTACTCTTAGACATTTGTTTACTGTTATAGTCAACTGCTTTGTTTTGCAGTCATGTGTTTTTAAATATAAAGTAGTATCAGTACCCAGGTTAGGAACATTTCCAAAACAAGGGCGGCCACCCCAGTAGAAGAACGTCAAAACAAACCAGGGGGCACCACTTTTAATGATAAACTTAATGCTTTTGTTCTTAATCCTTGCGACAAACATGCTGACACCAGAGACAATCTGAATGGGATTTTCTGATTTGGACAGCAGCCAAACTAAAAGTTAACAACTATTTTCGTCCGAAAACTAAACCAAAAGCAAAATGTGACTTAAGGCTGAAACCAAAAGATTTAGATATTTCGAAACTCATCCGCACTTGCTTTCTGTGTATGTCAAACAACGGTGGGAGAAAGTATGGATATTTTATTAATTTTTATTTGAAAAATGAGTTTACTTTTAATTTTAATAGATAAACATCTAATGAATGCTTCGGCTTTTAAATTTTGACTTAAAAAGTAATTAAAGTTGAAAAAATGTATTTTAAAGTTGTATGGGGCAAAATTTATGCCAAATAGACTCTTGGCCATCTTTTCCTTGTATAATATAATTACTGCACTACCTAGACATATCAATCGAAAGCTTAACTGATGTATCGTTTATTTGTATGGCCCACTAAAATGTCCAGACATATGCCTTGAAGTAACTCTTTGATCCGGAACCCATACATTTAGCTGAAAATGGTTTTTCATTTGTGAACATTAAAATTTTGTGTTGATCCACAGTCAACATTTATTTGCTAATTTTAGATTTAACCCAGATAAAACAAAAATTGAAGGAATGAAGAGCTAGGTTTAGTATGATAAGACAATAGGCCTACTACATGATAATACATTAGACCTACTACATGATAATACAGTAGACCTACTACATGATAAATACAGTAGACCTACTGCATGATAATACATTAGACCTACTACATGATAATATAGTAGACCCACTACATGATAATATAGTAGACCTACTACATGATAATACAGTAGACCTACTACAGGATAATACAGTAGACCTACTACATAATTGCTATACAAAACAGTGATACATTCACATGTGTGTGAAGGCTTATTATTAAATATAAAGGCTATTTTATGACTAATTATACTAAATTGAAATAAATAATTATATTTTTTAGATAATATTTTTGTGGAATATTTTAACATTTTATTTCATCACTGACAAAATGTTCATCAGCATGATAATGATGAGTTTCATGATAATGATGAGTTTCATGATAATGATGAGTTTCATGCTAATGATGAGTTTCATGCTAATGATGAGTTTCATGCTAATGATGAGTTTCAATAAATGAATGACTTGAATACGCCTTAGGTTCCCTCATTTATTTGTTTGAAAATAAAAACAAAGATAATTGCAATGTTACCATTGCCTGGGATGTTTTGTTTCTTCACAATCCTATTCACTTCTGTCTTTGACCACTTTTATGAGCATGATAATGATTCATCGAAAGGAATGTCACTAATGAATGAAATGGTGAACCTAGGCTTCCCAAATTATTTTTGAAAAAATTATAACAAAAATAATAAAGACAAATATTGCTGTTCCCTTGGGTTTTTTCCCCCCACATAACTATTTTCCTAAGCCTAATTGAAATTTTATTTTAAGAAATGTTGGATAAGTAGGTCAGCATGCAGTTGTGAGCGGTGTTAGCAGAGGATTAGTCATATATCATCAAGACATTGATCAATAATGAATATCACATTGCCAACAGACAGAGTGACAGTCTTCTGGTAGAATGTGGAAAGCCTCAATCAAAATGAACAAAAATTTAACTTTCCTGTTATTCTGAAACTGAAACTGTGTAGAAAGGGATCAAAGGGCAACTTTCGGCAATTAAACCGAATATTGGGTCGGCCTCAACACTATTGCAGCTAAAATTGTCTGTCATTTTATACACATTAAGTTCATTAAATATAATCACAAACTCTCATCTTGAAAATTAAATTTTAATAAATAAATTTATTGTTAAAAATTATTTCACTTGGTTTTTTGTTTGTTTCCTTAGATGACAAGCGGGCAAGTCGGCAAAGATCTTGAAACTCTTCTCTCCATGGAAATCAAAATGAGAATGCTGGATACAGAGGGTGTGCCGATCCCCGCCGAAGCTCCGCCCATTCCACCTCCACCAGCCAATTACAATTTTACCTACCTTAATTTATGACCAATCACAGCATGTTTGACGCCATTGATACTTTTGAGTGTTAGTTTGAAATATAGCACAATCCGATAGTTTGAAATATGGCACAATCTGATAGTTTGAAATATGGCACAATCTGATAGTTTGAAATATGGCACAATCCGATAGTTTGAAATATGGCACAATCCGATAGTTTGAAATATGGCACAATCCGATAGTTTGAAATATAGCACAATCCGATAGTTTGAAATATGGCACAATCTGATAGTTTGAAATATGGCACAATCCGATAGTTTGAAATATGGCACAATCCGATAGTTTGAAATATGGCACAATCTGATAGTTTGAAATATGGCACAATCCGATAGTTTGAAACATCGCACAATCCGATAGTTTGAAATATGGCACAATCCGTTAGTTTGAAATATAGCACAATCCATTAGCAGCACTGGAAAATCTCCACTAGACTTTAGGGCATCAATTTAATCTAGGAAAATCTGAGCTCAAAGCTTGTTCAGATAAAGGGAAAAGTGGTTTAATGTCATGTCTCAAATAACCTTGCATTACTGTAATAATTTTTGTATGTTTTTGTTCAAGTGTATAGTTTAAATACGAATGTATGACAACATGAGAGATAAAATCAAAGACATAAATTTGTGAAACAAACAAAAAATATTTATTTCACTTAAGCATCTATCTGAGTTGAAAATACTTTGATTAGAATTAGAATGGTTGAGTTTCTGGTATTGCTTTAATCATCTGGATTGGACTGCAGCATATTTAATCATGACAGTTGGACAGCATAGCTGTTAACTGATCCTCATAGTGTCCCGCTTATTACTGTCCACTTCTATATGCTGCATTGATTAAGTCTGTTCAAATCACTGTGGCCTTAACAAATTTTAATTAAAATAAAGGAGAAACACACAATTTAAATAAATAAGTGTAATATATATTACGTATGAATATAAGTTTAATATATATAACATTAATATAAGTGTAATATATATTACGTATGAATATAAGTAATATAAATCACATATTAATATAAGTTTAATATATATAACATTAATATAAGTGTAATATATATAACATTAATATAAGCGTAGTATATATTACATAAGTTTAATACTATATGATTTGTTGCTTGTTTTGCTTCACTGATTTGTACAAACACTTAAAGAGGCACACCTGTGCTGTGCAGAGGCCCACCTGTGCTGTGCAGAGGCCCACCTGTGCTGTGCTAGCCAAGGTTATAAAAGTTCAGACTCATTATTACAAGAGAATGAATCATATATCTGTAGAGTCTTCCGTTACAAATAAACAGCTGATAATAATTCCATCATTCCTTGATAACAAAAGGCTGTTGATGACCTGTTGTAGTTAATAGCTCAATGAAGCACATTTTAAAACTTTTTTTCCCCAAACAGTTACCAACTGAAGATGAACATTGAGCATAGACGACAAAGGCAGATACTTATTTACATTCCATTCAACAAATATTTTGTTGCAGACTTAATGTGTATAAATTAATTCTGGTAGATCAGCTGTAGTCGACTAGAGCAGAGCTATTGTAAACCTAACAAGAGAATGTTGGAACAGTTCTTTAAAACTTTAAGGCAGGTAGGAGGGGGGTTGGGTGTCCTTCAATTCAGGTATGCTGTCAGTTTGCAGATCATAAATTTGTTAACCTAGTTTATGCCATGCCATCAAGACCAGCCTTACAGTTGCAGGTGTCCCGCGTAAGCTTAACCATGGCGCCCATTTTAAGTATAATTGTAAAAATGTGTGTATGAAAAAACTGGGGATTGGGTGATGATTTTATTACCCAGGTTGTTTAGTTTTTTTAAAACAAAGAATGAAAAATAAATTATTTTCTTAACTTGTATTTGGACAGTATGAACAATTAGCCCACCGATGACATTTTTTTCCCTCGCCTTCAGATCAGCCCACCCTTTGATTGCACTTTCTATGTTCCTTCCATGGCGCGAACATGCAGTGATTTTTCCTTTTTTAGAAGATTGTTGATGCCGCCCTGAACTCATGGTGCCCCTGGAGTTGCCGGTGCCTTGAGCCGGCTCTGCTTACCATAAGAATTAATTGATGATATGTGTGTAGCAACCAGTGCAAAAAATATGTATGCCCCAACCATTGCAAGAATAACAAGTTATTGGTGCTCAAGTCCCACCACCCAAGTGCCATTAATTACAAAGTAGACACGAGCTGAATCATTCACATGGAATTGCAAATGTATACTTCATATTTCACAAGTAAATTGAAATGTATAGTTTATGTAACTAATATGAAAAGTCTAGTTTAAATCACATGTAATATGAAATGTATCTTTAATAGACACATGTACCTAAGAGATCAAAAGTATGACCAAAAAAATGTCACATTTTAATTCATACTCCTCTTGTTTATCATATATAAATAAGTAACTCTTGATGATCATTTATAAATATGTACACTTCATATGCAAGATTTTTAAGAAAAAAGAAATTAAATTAAATGACATGTTTTGTACAAAGTTGATTTAATGGTGTTAAAAGTTAATGTAAATTGCCTTGCAACTGGCGTTTTGCTTGTATGTCTTATCTAGGATATTTGCTTGTATGTCTTATCTAGGGTATTTGCTTGTATGTCTTATCTAGGGTATTTGCTTGTATGCCTTATCTAGGGTATTTGCTTGTATGTCTTATTTAGCATATTTGCTTGTCTGTTCTATCTAGGATATTTGCTTGTCTGTTCTATCTAGGGTATTTACTTGTCTGTTCTATCTAGGGTATTTGCTTGTCTGTTCTACCTAGAATATTTGCTTGTCTGTTTATCTAGGATATTTGCTTGTCTGTTCTATCTAGGGTATTTGCTTGTCTGTTCTATCTAGGGTATTTGCTTGTCTGTTCTATCTAGGGTATTTGCTTGTCTGTTCTATCTAGGGTATTTACTTGTCTGTTCTATCTAGGGTATTTGCTTGTCTGTTCTATCTAATTAGCTATCTACTTGTCATTTCAGTGATGTGCAATCTGGCAGCTTTTCATGTTCAGTGACCTTGACCTTAACAGTTTTTGTTTTAAACATGTTGTACATATTGCTCTTCAAATACTTGTTGTGGGTGGCTGGTTGGTTGGTTGGCTGCTTGTTTGGCTCCTTGGTTGGTTGGCTGTTTGGTTGGTTGGCTGGTTGGTTGGCTGCTTGGTTGGTTGGCTGCTTGGTTGGCTGTTTGGCTGGTTGGTTGGTTGGCTGGTTGGTTGGTTGGTTGGTTGGCTGGTTGGTTGGTTGGCTGGTTGGTTGGTTGGTTGGGTGGTTGGTTGGTTGGTTGGTTGGTTGGCTGGTTGGTTGGTTGGTTGGTTGTTTGGTTGGTTGGTTGGTTGGTTGGCTGGTTGGTTGGTTGGTTGCTTGGTTGGTTGTTTGGTTGGTTGGTTGGTTGGTTGTTTGGTTGGTTGGTTGGTTGGCTGTTTGGTTGGTTGGCTGTTTGGTTGGTTGGTTGGCTGTTTGGTTAGTTGGTTGGTTGGTTGGCTGTTTGGTTGGCTGTTTGGTTGGTTGGTTGGCTGTTAAGTTGGCTGTTTGGTTGGTTGGTTTCTTGAATTTTAGTTTTTTTTATTTAACAGCTATATTTTTGCATATCATTCAAAAACGCGCAGTTGGTTGGTCGGCGGGTTGGTTGATTGGTTGGCTGTTTGGTTGGTTGGTTGGCTGTTAAGTTGGCTTGTTGGTTGGTTGGCTTGTTGGTTGGTTGGCTGTTTGGTTGGTTGGTTGGTTGGTTGGTTGGTTGGCTTGTTTTTAAATTTAAAGATTTCTTTTATTATGACTCCAGATGTAATTGCAGCAGTCTTGTTACTACCATTTGCTTCAATATAGCAATCATGCTTTAACATATGAAAAATAGTCTATAGAGTGAGGTAATAAATTTAGTTGGAGAAACAATCAAATTGCTTGTCTTGTTGCACAAGTATTTCATTGTAACAAGTTCACATACAAGTAATTCATTGTAACAAGGTCACATACATGTATTTCATTATAAATAGTTGGCATACTAGTATTTCATTGTAACAAGTACACATGCAATTGTTTCATTCTAACAAGGTCACATTCAAGTATTTCATTAGGACTAGTTTGCATACAAGTATTTCCCTGTAACATGTTGACTTACACCGATATTTCATAAAGCAAGCTTATATTGAGACCTGTGACATGTATTTGTTAAGGAGAATGACAACATCATCTGTTATACAGAACCGATGACAACAAATTTTGAGTTGGTTCATGCATCCAGGCTATGCATATGTTAAGTCACCATATTGCCATATATTTATGTCACTTGCTCTTGTCTGGGTTTATTTCACCATGCTGATGTAAGGGGCACCGCTCTGTAACTCGAGCACACATGTGTCATCCTAGTGTTTTCTGTAACTCAAGCACACATGTGTCATCCTAGTGTTCTCTTTAACTCAAGCCCAAATGTGTCATCCTAGTGTTCTCTGTAACTCAAGCACACTTGTGTCTTACTAGTGTTCTCTGTAACTCAAGCCCACATGTGTCATCCTAGTGTTCTCTGTAACTCAAGCACACATGTGTCATCCTAGTGTTCTCTTTAACTCAAGCCCAAATGTGTCATCCTAGTGTTCTCTGTAACTCAAGCCCAAATGTGTCATCCTTGTGTTCTCTGTAACTCAAGCACAAATGTGTCATCCTAGTGTTCTCTTTAACTCAAGCCCAAATGTGTCATCCTAGTGTTCTCTGTAACTCAAGCCCAAATGTGTCATCCTTGTGTTCTCTGTAACTCAAGCACAAATGTGTCATCCTAGTGTTCTCTTTAACTCAAGCACACATGTGTCATCCTAGTGTTCTCTGTAACTCAAGCCCAAATGTGTCATCCTAGTGTTCTCTGTAACTCAAGCCCAAATGTGTCATCCTTGTGTTCTCTGTAACTCAAGCACAAATGTGTCATCCTAGTGTTCTCTTTAACTCAAGCCCAAATGTGTCATCCTAGTGTTCTCTGTAACTCAAGCCCAAATGTGTCATCCTTGTGTTCTCTGTAACTCAAGCACAAATGTGTCATCCTAGTGTTCTCTTTAACTCAAGCACACATGTGTCATCCTAGTGTTCTCTTTAACTCAAGCCCAAATGTGTCATCCTTGTGTTCTCTGTAACTCAAGCACAAATGTGTCATCCTAGTGTTCTCTTTAACTCAAGCACACATGTGTCATCCTAGTGTTCTCTGTAACTCAAGCCCAAATGTGTCATCCTAGTGTTCTCTTTAACTCAAGCACACATGTGTCATCCTAGTGTTCTCTGTAACTCAAGCACAAATGTGTCATCCTAGTGTTCTCTTTGACTCAAGCACACGTGTCATCCTAGTGTTCTCTTTAACTCAAGCCCAAATGTGTCATCCTTGTGTTCTCTGTAACTCAAGCCCAAATGTGTCATCCTTGTGTTCTCTGTAACTCAAGCCCAAATGTGTCATCCTAGTGTTCTCTTTGACTCAAGCACACATGTGTCATCCTAGTGTTCTCTGTAACTCAGCACACATGTGTCATCCTAGTGTTCTCTGTAACTCAAGCACACATGTGTCATACTAGTTTTCTCCGTAATTCAAGCACACATGTGTCGTACTAGTTTTCTCCGTAACTCGAGCACACATGTCATTCTAGTGTTCTCTGTAACTCAAGCACACATGTGTCTTACTCGTGTTCTTTTTAACTAAACATATTTCATTTTTGCAAAGTTTTTTGATATATGTTTATGTTATTGAATTAAAATTGAAATGATCAATGTTTACCTTTTTAAAAGTAATTCCGTGATGTTCCTATAGTCATTGTTTAAATTCACTCAGATGTTCTTATAGTCATTGTTTCAATTCACTCAGATGTTCTTATAGTGCCATGCTAAAATACTTCTGAAAGAGCTGCATGGACTGCTGTTCCGCGCTCGCATAGAGTACAAAATTGCAACTCTCTGCTACCGCTGCTTACATGACCTGGCGCAGTCCTTTCTCAAAGCGCTCATGACGCCTTATGTACCCTCTGGATACAGGGAGTCTGCCTCGAGACCTAAGGAAGGCGCACTTTTGCTGACCCAAGAATCTTTGGAACGCCCTTGCTGTCACTCTCAGAAACAGCCAGACACTGGAGTCTTTCAAGGCTGAGTTGAAAACACATCTTTTTTGCACTCACCTGCTGGGGTGATGTGATGTGGCCTATCTCCTGTTTTCCAAGCAGCTTGCTCATAGTCCTTGATGTATATTGGCTTGTATTTTCCATTGGCTTGTATTTAGATTTTGTATTGTTGTGTTTTGTATTTTATTGCCCTTCCAGCCTTAATTAAGGATGAAGTGTGTTTTTTAAAATGAACTTTATTATTATTATTATTATTATTAGTCATTGTTTAAATTCACTTTTATGTTCCTCCAGTCTTTGTTTTAATTCACTCAGATGTCCCTATAATCTTTGTTTTAAGTTTAAATTCACTATTATTGGACCTGTTGTTTTGAATGTGTGCTGAATGATTAAAACTGACTTATTAATAGTGGCCCTTATCAAGACATATTTCTTTTTGTATTCAGTCATTCATGGTCATATAATGCTATATACATTCATGAGTAGACACTTTGCCTGTGTTACCAGGAGGCTCAGCGTTATGCCATGGAAAGGCTTGTTTTAAGCTCTCATTAAGAGTCAACTATTCAATAGTTCACATCAAAATTTCTTTTTTTAATAAATTTATTGTATCCATCATGACTACAATGTGTTGCTACTGGAAACCTGAATACTTGAAACTAAAATGGTGGGCTGCTATTTTGGGCTTTGTAATGAAATCACCTCCCTTTGACTTCCCAAACCCTCCACTGTTATTTTTCCATTCCACCAGTGCAGTCCCCAAGTTATCCTCCCTTACCTCAAGTTATCCCCCTTACCTCAAGTTGTCCCCCTTTCCTCTCCTTGCACCTACATTCTTTGGATGGTGTTTCTTTAATGTACTTAATGTGAGCTAATCATACCTGGTTGTTTTTTTATGGTTCAAATAAAAGATTGAATGCTGACTTTAATTAAGTCTATTTATTAAACATGGCATGGGGTAACTCCATGATGTTTCTCATAAGTCTATTGACATAGTTCAAGGCTCTCATGGGTGGAACAAAATGTCAAAGTATGTTATGTATGATGTAACTATTTTATTTTTTACATTTCATGTGCACTATTCCTTGTGTGCTGCATTTGATTTACGTTTACCTTAAATGTGACTGGGACCATTTAAGTTGACTGGGTCCATTGATGGTGACTGAGAACATTTAAGGCTACTGGGACCATTTAAGTTGACTGGGTCCATTTAAGGTGACTGGTTCCATTGAAGGTGACTGGGTCCATTAAAGATGACTGGGACCATTTCAGATGACTGGGACCATTTACGGGGAAAGACCATTTAAGGTGACTGGGACCATTTAAGGTTGACTGGGACCATTTAAGGTTGACTGGGACCATTTAAGGTTGACAGGGTCCATTTAAGGTGACTGGGACCATTTAAGGTTGACTGGGACCATTTAAGGTTGACAGGGACCATTTAAGGTTGACTCGTGTAATGGGTACTAATTTAATTTTTTTGGTTTTACAAAGCACTTGTAAGCCTAATAATCATTGATTGGATATAACTCGTCATTTTAGTTGAACTCATATTTGCCATGGTGCTATTGTATTCATACATAGTTTTCACAAATAAAACCAACAAATACAACAATCAGAAATTCAACAATCAATTATTAAATTATTGATATCAAAAAAGTTCATTTTTAAAGACTTGTCAAGAATGTTTTGAATGATTTTTCATAAGTCTGATGTCAAAAATCTTTATGTTAAAAGTCTTTGTTTGCTCTTAAACAGTATCTTGTTTTATGCATGTCCACAATGTATTCCACATTTAAATGTTTTTGTTATTACAATTCCATCATCATTGCACATTGTTACTGACATGTCATTGTGATGTCAATTCCGTCATTCTCATTAAAGTTGGATGTTCTTGATTAGGCTTGATTTCACCACTCTCATTATTGGCATGCATGTCAACTGTCATTTGGCACACAGAAACCAAAGGAGAAATCAATAAAATCTAACATTGGCACACCACTGCTTGAATTGTTTGATCAATTTGTTTGTTCAATTGTTTTTTTCAATTTGTTTGATCAATTTTTGTTCAATTTGTTTGTTCAATTTGTTTGTTCAATTTGATTGTTCAATTTGTTTTAACAATATGGTTTTTAATTTGTTTGTTTAATTTGTTTTTCAAAATGTTCGTTCAATTTGTTTGATCAATGTTAGTTTAATATGTTTGTTCAATTTTTTGTTCAATTTGTTCATTTGTTTGATCAATTGTTTTTTTTTCAATTTGTTTGTTCAATTTGTTCAATTTATTTGATCAATATGTTAGTTTAATTTCTTTGTTCATTTGTTTGTTCAATAGTTTGTTCAATTTGTTTGTTCAATTGTTTGTTCAATTTGTTTGTTCAATTGTTTGTTCAATTTGTTTTTTCTATAATTTTTTTTAATTACTTGTTCAATATGTTTGTTCAATAGTTTTGTTCAATTTGTTTGTTCAATAGTTTTGTTTAATATGTTTGTTCAATTTATTTGTTCAATAGTTTTGTTCAATATGTTTGTTTAATTTATTTGCTCAATATGTTTGTTCAATTAATTTGTTCAATAGTTTTGTTAATATGTTTGTTCAATTTATTTGTTCAATATGTTTGTTCAATATGTTTGTTCAATATGTTTGTTCAATTTGTTTGTTCAATAGTTTTGTTCAATATGTTTGCTCAATATGTTTGTTCAATTTAT